CGTAACAAGATGAAAACACCAACATATATAATCAGTAACTGTCCATAGGTCATTAGGTAGAATTCCTTAATTAATTTCTCCTCTAAAAACAAGATGGAAACACTAACAGTTGAAACAACAACTTTTCAATGTTCATCAGGTAAAATTTCTTCATTAATTCTTTCTTATCCCCTACACACACTTCCCCACTAAAAGCATGGTGTGTGCTTTCAACCGGATAAGTGTTGTGACACCCACTTTCAAATGCTCTAAATGAAACGCTTCAAGCATTGTTTGAAACAAATAAAGTCTGCCCAAAAAAGAAGGGTAAGATTTGTTCAGAGCCAACTTGCTTAAAAGTAGACAAATTAGGTGGCGTGTTTTATTTCAATTGTGTGCTCCGTAGTGAAGGTACAGAGATTAATCAATACATTATCTCACCAATCATGGCTGGATAAATTCAGAATTTTGTGGGAAAGAAAGCTAGAAAATATCAGTCAAAATCGATAAAAAAAAAAGCATCTCTTTTCTATTTTAAACATTTATTGCAAAATTAGGCTTCTGCATGTACAGGGGGTGTTTCACAAAGGTCGTAAGTCCAAGTTGGACTTAAACATCACGGAGAGCCATTTGTAGTCTTATAAAAACATATTCAAAAGCGAAATTTCAAACATTTTTAGACTTTTCATAAATTCCACATCAAGAACATGACATCTCCTTGATAACAAAAAATATAAAAGATTTTAATCACCCTGTTATGCCTTATAAAATAACTTTTAAAAAATATTTTCAAAGATGCTAACAGCTTTCCATAATGGTTAAGTCCAACTTAGAGATAAGTTAATCTTAGGATCTTTGTGAAACACCCCCCTGGCTAACTAGATTGTTGAAACAAACAGATTGAAGTATACATGTGTACTACTAGTACTTCATGTGAAGATGTATACTAACACTTAAAATTAAACCCTTTGGCATTAAAAACATTCAAAAGTAGCCTTTCGCATATACACTGCACATGTACAGTGTTAAATTGAATATTGAAACAAACATATTGAAGGTCTGTACTCGACACTTCGTGTATGTGTACAGTGTACTTTTGGTGAAGATGTACTAACACTTAAAACCAAACCCTTTGGCATTCAAAACATTTCAAAAGTCCTTCTTGCATGTCAAGTAGTTAGTTTACCCAAACAGAATTTGTACTTAAAATTGTATGCATATACTATGTGAGAAGAAGATGTAGAAGTAGAGAGCTCTTGATAATCAAAGCCTATGGCATTTAAACCACTCACATTTCAAAAAGGTATTTCTAAATGTTCATGTATACTCAAAATAGGTAAATTAGTACTCCTCACTGCATTCGTTCTATCTTTCGAGATAACTCTTTTCCTGACCTGCATGTACAGTATATGCTTACCTTCTCAAACTGTCTCTTTACAATGTCTCTTGTAATGAAAACCATTTATTGTATTGTATTCACATATTTTTGGAATACAGGTGGATTTTAAAATATAGAAGAAGACACAAATTTGAATCTAAATTTAATTTTCAGTGAGCATGCAATAAACTGTATTCCAACTTAGTTCCACAAAAACTATATTGACAACTTGTTTCAAAGTTTTCATTGTGACATAAAGTGTGTTAAACATTTAAACATAAGGTTTGCCCTTGTTGTTTTTAAGTTTTCTGTACTTGCATAGCAGATTACTGCAATCTACAACAAAATGGCAACACTAATTTGATACCCTCAAAAATTTGTAGTAACTTTTTGACATTATTATAAGCTCACAAAGGCCACTAATTTTAACTTTAAGAATCCTAAAACTTTGAAGGATATCCAGATTCCAGGGTTCATGAGTTTAGAAACATCCTACAAAGTATTTAAAAGCTAAGGATATTTTTCTCATCAAATATACACACAACAAAAGAATTTCCGCTACTCTTAAAACTTTGTATCAATGTAACGATCTACTTACACATAATTAATGGCTACTATTTAAAAAAAAAGTGTGTTGTAACAAAAAAGCTGAGGTAGAGGTTTCTAACCTAACAAAAGAGAAAGAAATTCTAAAGGTTTGTGGTCTAGCTGCGACTATGACGAGTGTCAACTGTCAGGAGGATTTCTATAGAGCATGACAAATGCCTCCGGTCACTAATTGAATGGCCCTTCCAGAAAAACAAGAAAAATCTTCTCAGGCTGTAAAACAGGGAGTTCCTTTTATTTACATACTTGTTTTCTAAAATTTCTTTTATGCTTGTAGTAAAGGGTAATGTTCTTTGCTACCATTTCAGGAGGAAGTTAGATCTAAAAGTGAAAACACTTGTTCACATAATATGGAATGATAATTGGATTTTGATATACATTTCCTGCTTGTAAATACATGAAGGTGTAATGTTCTTGGATAACATTTCAGGAAACATGTAAATCATTTAAAAAGGGAATTCTTTTGTTTACAAAATATGGACCAAAACTTGACTTCTAATATTTCTTTACTAATTGTAATTAGGTGTTATGTTTTTCGACAGCATTTCAGAAAACCATTAAATCCTAAAACTTAAGTAGATAGATGACATATGTAGATGACAATTGTAGGCAGATTGAGATTTAATCGTTTTGAAGAATCTTATTTGTAGTATAATATAGAGGTAAAGAGTGCTTGTCCCAATTAAACAGTGACTGCAGGCATTTATTCTAGATTTCAAAGATAAGATTCATTTCAAAATACCTCCTGCATCGTACTTTATATAAAATATAATATAGAAATAACATCCTGACCAGTTGGATCATAAATGATATATAACAAGCCACCATCCCCTCCCACAATTAAAGGGTATATTGTAGTATTGAAAATAATAAGTTTGAGGGCATTTCTACGAGATCTCAAAGATAAACACCAACAAAATATTGATCCTGACCTAATAATCTAATAAAATTGAATAATGAATATTACTTTGATAAAAAATTATGGAATGCACAATAAAATATTTCACCTCATTGAAGTAAAAAAAAAATATGTTGTTTTTTCTAGATGATATATTTTTGAAAGGAAATTTACTTCCGCATTTGTATTTCTTAGTTCTGTATCTGAATGGCAATCACTAGGTATGATATTTTTAGGTCAGCACATATTCAGTACATGGTAAAGTATCACAATTTTTTGTGACATCGGCATCTTATAACATACAGTTCTAATGTTATTGTATGTTTCCTAATTAATTCACAAAGTTTAATGCACAAGAAAAGATAATGATACACTGTACATGTATGTTGCATAATTCAATACTCCTTCAATAAGAACTTACTGTACACAGGGTTTGGGTTATGTTAATAAGGTTTCGATGTAACTTTGCTTTTGATAGTGCGTTTTTAGATTATCTCTTTCTTAAAATGTTCTTGAGGCTTTAATAACTTACTGAAATAGATTAACAGATTCTTAAATTCATTTAAGAAATGGTTGTATCAATCAGATACAAGAAATAATGTCAAGAATGCATTACATGTATGTGTAGACCTTCATCTAAAAATAAAAAGCTGCCATAAAAGCTGCAAATAATGCGAAGGGAAATGTAAGTAAATTTCTCCATTACAAGAAGATCAATTCATGGCCATCCTTGGAAAAGCAGTGACACAAATTGGCAACCGGTCAATACGCAATCAACAAGTCTGTGTAGTATTTTCAAAATTGACTTATCATGTATGTGCATCTCCCTTGGGCGCACTAAAGAACCATAAGAAAGGTGGATTTAGGGAATTAACAATTGAACATTTAAATGCGTGTTCCCTTCTTCAACATGAATTCATCATCGTACAGTAAGACATGAATAATAAATGAAAAGGGTGTCAAACGCTTTATGTCCCAGGGGAATGAGGTCATTTGTGACAACAAAACGTGACGATTGTCATTCTCCTATTATATTATCTTCCTTAAATGACGGCATTCTAGAAGTGTTTTTTAATCCCTGCCTTCTTCAAAACTGAACAAACATGTAAATGTGGAGGTCTGCACATCTTTTAAAAACAATTATTTTACACGTTGTCTGTTACAGAAATATCATTAGGCACTTGTACATGTTTTCATTGAAAGGGGTTAGAGGTAATTTCTGCCAGCTAATTATCTATTTAACGCCGGAAGTGATCTATAGTAATTACTAGCTTATGGTTACATTCTAAAGCCCCTGATTGCATAAATGTCACATGCTACTATTCAAAACTCATTTCCGTCTACTTTGGAAAGTCTCAAGAATTCCTCACACCCCTAGAGGTCAAATCATTTACACATTGTTGCTGTAAATTGCCAGTCGGAGAAATCAAATTAGTAAACGGAAGAATTTAATGAAGGTTTATTTTTATTTGTATCATTGATTGACTGACTGCATGACTACTTTACCCTGATTGACTGACTAATTTACTCTGATTGACTGACTGAATACTTTACTCTTTTTTTTTAAATTAATGTACAGCTTCATGTATTTACTACAGTATATTATTATTTACCCTAATGTTTGCCTATATAATTATGAAATTACAAGAAAAACTGCATGTGATACAGGATTTATCTTGAAATTAACTTAATTCTTTTGATATACAGCAGGCTTATCATAAGGAAATAATAATTTCTATTCTAATCAAGAGCCTGATAAACTTGTTTAAATGTACGTTCTATTTCATAGGAAAAGAAGCATATTTCTTTCAATATAAAGATTTTATACAAAACAGACGGGCAGGGCCGCCTCCCCCTCCCCTCCCGCATATAAAAAAGAGAAAAAAAACACACAGGATAAATGGGCATGCTAAAAAAAAAAGCCAATGCATGGAAAATAATAATTCAAGAAAAAAGATTAAATATAGAACCATCAATATGGTTCATATTATATATATTGAGAAAAGAAAAGGATCTGACACAGTGTTTAATCTAAAATTTAAAGAAAACTTGGTGAAATCATAAACCACGTTGGCAAGTATAGACAAGACAAAAAATTCCAAACCGAAATAAAAGAAAATTAAGATTTCCTGGACTTACCTGTACCACAGTTCTGCCCAGAGAACCCAGCTGTACACACGCAAGTGTAGGTTAAACTTCCTATGCTACCGGAACATACTCCTTGATTGAGACAGGGATTGGGCTCGCACGGGTTCTGACCTGAGTAGGTAGAAAATATAATATTCAAAGCATCAATAAATGTAATTCAATTCAATTCTCTTTATTCATCTAAATTCATAAGAATACATGAAAATTTGTTTTGTCACACATTGTACAAATACATAATATATTTATAGGAGAAACTATATCGTTGTGTTTATAATCATAGAAGAACTATCAAAGATTTGTAAATAAAATGTGTCCAGTGAACACAAGCAAGCCAAATGGTAGCAAAACATGTCCTGTGGTTGAAAAAGATTTTGTGAACGAACGAATGCTGACTTGACGGGTAAGAAATTTTAAATTGTAATTGTACATGTTATTGTAATTGTCTTTGTAATTGTCATTTGTAAATTTTAAATTTTAAATTTGTTATTTGTAATTGTTAATTGTAATTGTTGATTGTAATTGCAATTGTAATATAATTTAATTAATAATTGTAATTTATAATTTGCAATAATATTTGTAATAGTATTACTTTATTGTCATAAAATATACATCAAATATGCAGCTCAAGAGCTAAAAATATTGAATTGAATTTTTTTTTGAATTATCAAAGAATAATTCAATATCTGTCAATTGAAAATAGCTACCGGTATATGTCCTGAGAACTAAACATGTAAACAAGCAAGTCCTACTGTAACCAATGTAACCAAACGTTAGTTCAAACATCGGTTAGGATCACACAAATTGTGAAATGAGTATTAAGAAACATAAGTTTTGAAGTGCCAAAGATTATTCTTAAAAGGAATTACACTTAAAATAATAATAAAATGAATTTTGGTACAAATGATGTAAATTTATTTATCATTTACATTTGCAGATACAGAAACATCTTTGAGCTATATCATAATCATTCTGGGACCTAAGAGTACATCTGTCTTTAAAAAATAGTAAATATGTTAATAAAGATTTAAAAATAATTTAACAAGTTTAGAAACTAAACCAAGCCCAAGTGTGTAGAATGATTGATTGAAATCTACACAAACTATTTGATTGTCTAGGTTCTTTTGATTCTCTTTTTAAAAGGAGTGCAGCAAGAATTGTCCCATTCAGTCCTACAAATGTTTAAAACATGTATTGTTACTCGACTGATATCCATGGGAATGATAACAATAAAAAGGGATTTTCTAAAGTAGCAAACTATTGTGGTAAGAAACATTCCCCTTTTTATGAGAATTGCTCTTTGAAAATCAATCCAGGGTGCTTATATATGTATCCAACCTGATTGGTTTTGTTCACCTTTTGATATGTGATGAAAGATATGAATATCAATTGTGAGGCGACATCATGAAAGCACATGGACTTTGTACTTTCTTGCCTTTGAAGTCGATGATAAGACTTTTTTCTTTAACCAACTTCACCATTTTCCAAAATTCTAGATTGGAATCTACATGCATGACTGGAGTTCTTAATCATACATGTATAAATGAGGAAGTGACTGGTCCAAAATAGTTTTCTCAGTTTTCAAAAACGTTGTAGAAGGGTGGATATATTTCACAAGATAATGTTAACAATGTAAATCTGGTGGCATGGTGATGATGGTGATGACTATGACGACGATGATGATCATGACCATTATGATGTTGATGGTGAAACAAAATCTGGAGTATGTACATCAATCTTTGTGACCTTTGATGACACAGAATTTTTCAATGTTTTAATATTTGTAATAAATTTAGATTTTGATGTAATATTTGAGAGTTTAATTTGTTTCATTATGCATGATTTATGCATTGTACATTGACTTTGCAAATTGAACAATTTCAGCTTTCCAGCTGCATGTTCATTTATTGCAATAAACCAAATTAATTCAATTCAATTCAATGTCCCCTTTATTCAATTATAAATCAATGCAATCTCTCAATAGTTAGAATAATCTTGGTTTAGCAAGCTGATACACAACATTTTTCTGAAGACTGGATCTGATATAATCACACATTTGAAGAGCACATTAACCATCTTAACTGGAACTTTTGTGTACATATATATACCACTAAAGCCTGAGCAATCATGAACATGAAAAGTGGCTGCATGACAATTAAATTCATAATCAGATCAATTATATACCACACACGAACATGTACATGTGAAATAATCATATCCTTAGAAGTCATTATTTTCTTATAATGACACGTACCAGGATTCTTGTAACATTACACACCCAAAATAAAAGAGAAAAAATCTAATAATGATTTCAACAAAACCTGTTGGATATGGACGAGCAATTAATTATTTCAAAGTTATGCAGCAATGGGAATGATAGGGTGCAAACATGCATTAAACCATAAAATGAACAAGAAAAGAAATGCAAAGCTTTATTTTTGTCATCACAGACAGTACGAAAAATGGCAACAATGGTCCTATTGTATTCACATATTTATTGTTCCTCGATCAAAGTATATATAATTGTATGTGTGCATCCCCCATATCCTGAAAATTGGAGTACATTTGTACACAAAGGCATCCAACAAAACAAGATGAAATACACATGTCAAGGATATCACCAAGCTTTTCACTTTTAAAGAGAGGATAAAACTCACCAGCAGTTAGAATTGCACAGGATGATAAAATGGCTAGAACAAGCGCTATGGTGCCTTGAAAAGTAGGAAATGTTCTTGTATAATTTGCACTCCTACAATATCCTAAGGTGACTTGAGGTTTAGGTGATGAACAAGAGATTGCTTGACTGCTAGGTTTTAAATGTGGCAGAGGTGTCTTTGAGGAAGCAGTAGCTGTTCTCCTGAAGCTACACACTTCTGGTTCATCATGGACAGGTAATGATTCTGGAAGACTGTTCGATTGTCTTTGGGGAGAACAGGGTGAGGACCTGACAGCCCCGATGTCTTGCTGATCATCTTGAAGGCATCGGTCTTGTCCTGGACCTGATGCAGGAGTGTCCTTGGTGGATGAGATGCTTTTGGTAAGATGGAGCGGACTCCAAGAAGATGTTTGGCAGATTACAGGCATAGAAGTAGATGAGAGGGATGAGATGTTAGGTGATGTATTGGTGCAGGTGGATCTTCCAGTCTTTAAATGATTGGTATGACAACCGCATCCTTCTCCTCCAGCATCACATGTGTTTTGGAGGGGACACTGGTATACCTTCTGCCAACCATGGCAGGTGGATGGAGGATGATCTGTATCATATGTTTCTACAGCTGCAGACATTCTGGGCATGTGGTTTGTCCAGATATCACTCCGAAGCGAAAAAATACTGCAGGTTTAATACTGCAACCAAAGTAATTCAAAGCAAGTGGGTATCAGGTTTCTCCAACAAATAATGATGTGACTTCATCGTGCAAGTAAAGATTCAGGAAAATGATATCATGCTCTAAGAAATATACAAAGCCATAACGTGAACATGCACAAAACAGAACAGTTAACTCAAAAATGTTGTTTGCCAACAAAATCTTGCTGCAGAAAGTTCTAATATTCTCAGTAAACAGCCTTTGAAAGGAATGAGGACAAAAATGTCAGTTTCAAGTTCTCTGAAACATTAAAATATAAAGTTTGTAAACACCAAAATACATTATCCACTGTCTGCCACTAGAGCCAATTGAATTATTATAATAGATCCTCCAGTTAATGACGCTTCACTTTGACAGGAGTTAAATTATTCTCGTTATATGCCCCATCAACTCTTAGGAAATGCAACACTCATTTCCAACTTAATGATCCTTTGCCGCTAAATCAAACTCCACTTGTCCAAAGAGTCTCCTATCAGCGTTGAAATGTTGATTGGGCCTCTCTTGCTTTATTATGATTACACAACTGGCATCACGTCAGTAATCCTCCTCCACTCCTCAGCATACAGGAGCATTCAAGAAGCGTGTCGGTCCCGTTAGAGCCCCGTCGCAACCACTGACATACATAAGTCTTCTGTCTATAGTCACTGGGAATTAAGCCTAGCCTCTGATCCCACGCGACAGGTCCAACTTCACTCTCACAAGACGAAAGCAAATGTCTTTACACTTTACAAACACAATGAAAGGAGAAAGAACGGTCCGCTATTTAAAATAGACACAGCTAGCTTCCAATGAAGCCCATTGAAGCCCCTAAACAGTGGAGCGTGTGAGCTAGCGCACCAAGTTATTCCTTTCATTATCCCATTGAGGGGGAAACAATAGGCTTAGCCTGAATAGAAGGGGAATGCTACACCAGAGGGGTGCACCGTGACAGGTTCTTTCCAACCCAATTGGGGGTCGGGGGACAGTTTAGATTTACCCCATTGGGTGAAATCTTAGGAAGGTTGTGAAATAAAGTTTTGAAAAAAGTTTATGGCAGTGTCATGGTTGGGGGAAGAGGAGAGTAATTAGTTTTAAAAAGTTTTGGAAAGAGGAACATTTATAAAGGGTGCTTCTCCTTTCATAACAAAGTACAGCATGTTTGTCTCTCCTCCAAAATTAGTCATTGATATTCAAATAATACTTTAAAGATGGCATATAACTAATCTGTCATACTTGGTGAAAATTGTAAGTATACTTCATTTTGAATAAAGGAAGTTTTTTTTTTTGAATTCTAGAACCGATCAGACTGAACTTTTTAAAAGTATGTAAAGGTGCAAAGCAAGAATTTGTCTTCATAAAAGATAATAAGTTATTCAAAGAAAGCAGGGAAAGGTTTGAAATTGTACAAACCATCAAATGAAATATATAAATAAGTATATTTTCCAGCTACCCGATAAACCCGCCAGTCAATATGGAAAGACCTATGATCTTGTGTAACTCTCACAGACACTAGGGGGAGGGTGTGTGATGGGGATGATTCCTTCAGTAAGACTTTAGAAGTAATTGTCTTTAAAGCATTCACTCTGTGCATCCTTCCTCAGAAATCAAATGCGGTTACGCGAGGAGTGCGAGGGTCAACTTGGCAGTTATTGATTTCCATTGTTTTCCGGTCAAAAGAAGGATATTCATGTGTATAGGGCACTCACCTCAAAACAATCAGAGCTTGTGGTTGAATGCTCAGATATATCACTGTTTCTTTTCTTAGGGTCAGTTATAATAATTCACTATGACAGTTACTATTTGCTCTTCTTACAATCTTCTTTAATATGATGAAATTAAACTTCATTTTGATAAACCATCAAAGAGAAACATGAAGTTTATCTTTAAAATCTAAATAGTGTCATGAATTTTGGATTTCATTGTTATGGTTATACTAAAGAAATATAAGCAAGGAAAACTACACTGCGATCATATATTTTGGTAGCACTATAAGGGATAAATAGTCAAAAGGTCTATAAATTGGTTAAAATATCATACATGATATTGTAAAAGATGAAAGCAAATAAAAAGTAGCAATTTACATTGAGTCTTAAGTTAGAGACTAACAACCAGAATATATGTATGACGTCTCAGAATACAAATCATGCACTACATTGTAGTTACTCAAACAATAAAACATTACCCTCAAACAAAATTTGTCACAAAATATATATTGTAAACACTTCTTTTCATGCATTCATTCTTTAGGATACTCGTCAGGGATTTTCCCGTTGAGTGATTACTCTGTCCGACATCAAAACAACACTAAATCAATAAGGTATTCAATGACGTTATGCTGAATCACAGCACAAGAGGGCAGTAAGCAACTTCTGTGCATCAATGGGCATTGAAAGTTTCACAGTTTATGTGTAACAGAAAAGATATGAATACTATATGGGTGTCTTAATTTCATATCGACTTTCTTGGTTCACCCAGCTCATGATCATATTTGTTTAAGCCTACTGTACATAGCTACATGTACATCATATTAATTAATATAGTATTACAATTTACATTATCATTCATGAGTACTTTCCATGTATGGAAAGTTTTTAAAAGGTGTACATGTAGCAATAATATCAACATACAACCAATTTCTAAAAACAAGCATTTTTTTCTAAACATTTATTACTTAAACTCTTTTAATTGTTTTAATGTGGAGTAACAGTTTTACTTACCATATATGATTTGGACTCATACTGCCAGTCTGACATTTTTAAATAATTCAAAATATATACATGTTTGTAGAACATTGCACGTGCCATAGAATATCAGATAAAAACTAGTTTACATGCACATATACATTGATACGGACAAGTATAAAGAATTTTTTTTTTTAAATGTAGTTTGGTATTAAGTTATTTACAGCATCAAAAATGTATCAGAGTTATAAAAAAAGTGTGCTTAAAGATGCAACTTGAAAATGAAATAAGATAAATTCTTGTGTATTGAGAAGCAAATATACTTATTTCTTTTTTTATCAATCATCAATTTTATCAATCATCTAATACACAGACTCAGGAATCTGTGTAAATGTAAAATTCACTTGATAGAACATCAAACTTTATTAAATTGTCTCACAAGACCCACTAATCTGCATACCAAGTTTCCAAAGTGCTTTTTATTTAAACAAAAGGGCACACTGTATTGTAGCATGAGCTAAAGCTCCACTTGGCAATCGACTTTGCCTACATTTGTATCAGGCTGTTCTCACACTCAGCAGGATACAAGATCATTCTCTACTTTGTCTGTTTCTTTCTCTTGATCGCTTGGGAGGAGTTTGGCGTCAAAACAGTTGGAGCCAACGTGTCAAGTCACAGACTCACGTTAAAAATGTGAGAACTAAGCCCTTTAGGACTTACAGTAGTATTCTATCCTTTCGAGTTGGATGTACATGTATAGTATAATTTTTTGTTAATTAGCCCTCATTATTTAGGTTCTTAGGACAACTCTATTACTGCTCCATTTTTCTCTGAATGACATACATGTACATGTATATCTATGTTTGCTCAGGCGCCTAGGGACATACTTATGTAATGTGTCCTATGATCTTCTCTCTCTCTCTCTCTATCAATCACACACTAGCACAGTTACTGTGCAGTGGTACATATATTGATAATAAGGACACATAGAGAGATATAATAGTCACTGACACAGAGAAAGATACAAGTAATCGCTGATTTAAACCTTTTCAATTCCCCTTTCTGCATACACAGTGCTTTCTCACGCTCCTCATACAGTAGCTAACAATAAATTTAACAAAACGTTACTATTGGAGTGAATGAGTCATGGTCTGCTTGTCATGCCACACCCATTACCCCATGGTGTGAAAGTCTCATCACTCTCATCCTACAGCATGTCTACTTCTCATTCATGCATCTTTATAATGCTAACTTCATTTATGAGGTCTCATTTTCTCACTTCAATCACTCTTACCCCAACAGTCTCTTTTTCTCTTTTTTTCTCATTCCATCTGAGTGATTTTCTGCAAGTCTTCATATAGTTTATAATTCTGCTAACCCTATAACCTGTGTACATATAACATTATGAATTTTGAATGAATTAAATCCAGTTTCTCTTTTAAACAGTTGTTCCTTTACCAAAACTGAAGATTATCCTTAATGCACAAATTAGTAACAATTAGGCTATTGTATGAAAGAGATGCCCACATGCTGTGTCAGAAGACAGGTGCAGCATGTACGAGAAATTATAAGCATCTGTTTGGCGCCCTCTATCTTGATAGATCTATTCAGATGTGCTTGAAAAATTGAAGTGCTTTGGCTGAGGTGTCATTACATAATGCTCAAAGCAATTAATGATAATCCTACATACATGTACATCAAACAGTACCTATCAATAGGGCTTATCCATTTACCACACTACATTCTTGTAGATCCTCATTACCATATGACAGATCTAAATGCCTTTACTGCTCTCCATGGAACTGTGTTTTGTGATTTATGACATTTGTTCTATTTTTTTCCGTCACTTTCTTAAAACCGTGACGGCCCATGTTCCCTGATTATTGACCATTATTGACAATGTGTGAGTATAATTTTACCATTTGCAATATTGTATTCTATGTATTTTTTAAAAAAAATTTAAATCGTGAAAAATTCTATTTTTTGTCTGCAAATCATGATTTGTATTGAACCATGAATAATAAATAAATGAATTTTAATTCAACCTTGAGAATGTTTCATCTATATTATGTATTGCATATACATGTAGTAAAACCAAAATATTTTCAACAATATTTACTGACGGCTCTTTTTCTGGAAAGAAAAATTGTTTGCATAGTTGTAATACATCAGATTCAAATATTATCGTGATTCAAATACTTTGGGTAAGAAACTTTTGCAAACTTTACCCCTCATAAGAGCTACAAAAGCTTCATGCGAGCAAAAATTTATGTTATTAATACATCAACACTTCATTGAGCTGTGGCATTTTCTTAAAATATAAAAAGAAACCAATTGACAAGTACTTACAAACTAGCCCCTCATCCGACCCGTCATTACAATGGTTGGTCCCATCACAGACAAGCAATGAAGAGATACACTGTAGGATTGAGGTGCACTGGAACATTCCATTCTGGCATGGGAGGGGACAGCTTGTTTCATCCGAGAAATCCGGGCAATCCAAGGCAACATTGCAGCGTGATTGTCCGCTGACACAAGCACCATTGAGGCACATGTAATCACTTGGATTGGGGCAAATCAGCACTGGAACAAAAGAATTGTGTAAGGAAATCGTATTAGGTTTATTTATTTGGGCCAATAAAATGTCACCGTGTTACCAATTAGATTGTCACTTTAGAATTATTTTACTTGATATTTGGTCTGCTCAAAGCTCTAGTACGACTATCAATCAAATACAGTGATTAGCTATACTACAATCTTAGATGCTGTTGGTTAATGTTGGGGACAAAGAAACATGGAATTGCTCAAGTATCATATTGAAAAAGGATAATTTTATCACAAAGAACCACATTGTTAGGATATGGAGCTGGTAAATGCATATACAATCTCAATGAGACTTAATTTGAGCTAAACCTTAATTCAGAGATGTCAAAAAGGAAATTTTAATCAACAAAAATCACTAACTATATATAAAATGCATCTTTTCATGCCACTACATTTCCTGAAGCTACTTTTAAATCATGAAGCCATTTAATTTCATGTAGAATAAAGTGGAAGACTAAGACATCCCAAGGACAGTTGCCCAACATAGCATCAGGTATTCATGACACTGAGCAGCAACAATAGCAATTCTATGATTACACATGTAACAGCTACATGTACAATCAGTTATATAACAATTAAAAAGCTCATTCTTACGCTTAAAAAAAGGAAAAGTTTTAGATAAAATTTGAAAACATATATGAAGTTTAAAGTTTTACAAATTGTAGTCGCTACACAAATGACAAATGAAAATGTTCTACTGATTAATCAATTTGAAAGCAATTTTTATGAGACTTACGATTGGTTCCACAGTTGACGCCAGTGAAGTCCGACAAGCATGTGCAAGTATAAGTCACTGGCGTGATAATTGTTATGGAGTTACAGAGACCTCCATTGAGGCAGGGGTTGGGATTGCAAGGATCTATGGCAGGCAAAAAAATATAAACAAGATTGATATAACAATTTAGATGATTAAAGGGAAATGCACAAGCTCCATTGGGCAAGAGTTTGTTGAATAGGACTATACTGTATATTTCTGTTTCATGCATCCAAAATCATTCCTCATTTTGTGGTTTGGGTTCACAACTTTCGATTAAAAGCCCGAAAAAGTATACCAGATGCACAAGTACATGTAGAAAGGGCAAAAAATTCTGCTCATACTGCATCCATTTTTGTTACATGACCATATTGTGTTTGATGCCAGGAATTTTTAAAAGGAAAATAAGCCTTAAAAATCCTTAAAAAGGGAACACATTAATGATTCAAAATCATTGTGTTTTCAAACGAAATTGGCCATTTACAACTTTTTAACAAAGTTTTTAATGATGTACATCTTTTTTTAGAGACATTACATTTTATTAAAATAACATAGCAATAAAAGAAAAATATCATCGTTGCCAATTTGGAAAAAGTATGATCAATAGGTTAAATAAATCAATAATAAAATGTAGAAGTATTTGGAAAGAATAGTCGTGCTGAAGAGGTGTTGTGATTTCCTTCAAGTTGTATTCAGATTTCATGTTTGATACATGTATAAGCTATAAATACACACATGTATGGTTCTGATACATTATATGTCAATGAAAACATATTTCATAATTATATGCATTTTTTCAAATATTCTGAATCTGTTTTGAACTTGAGCAAGAAGTGAAAAGCTGATTTTAGTAAGAAAAAAAATAAATAAAAATGGCAAGAATGGTTACAGTAATGAGATAGAGCTGATAAACATGCATATAAGCCAACACATCCACACAAAAATGTACATGCACATGAAACATGGTGAGCTGAAATAGAACAGACATCAAATGAGAAGAAACTAGTGTGTGTTTATAACATCTTTTGAAACTGAGCTAAAAGACAAACTAAAAGAAAACCAAAGACACTGTTTTAAATGAAAATAAAGAAGGAATGATGGACAGTAAAATGGATGAAGGATGGATGAAGGATGGGTGACTGATGAGATCGCAAGCACACTTGAACTTGATCCAAGACAATTGAACTTACGACTTGCAACACTGAGAAATTAAATAAATGTGTGTTAACAACTAAGCTTAAAAGACGAAACAAAGAAAATGGTATGAATGAAAAAAAGAAGGAATGATGGAATAATGGAAGAACAGTAAAATGGATGAAGGATGGATGACTAATGAGATCGCATGCACACGTGAGCCTCAACCCATGACCTTTGAACCTACAACACGAAGAAACTAATGTGTATTTACATCTTTGGCAACTAAGCTAAAAAGACGACACAAAGAAAGTGGTAGGAATGAAATTAATGAAGGCATCACAGAATAATGAATGATTGGTAAAATGGATGAAGGATGGATGACTGATGAGATCGCATGCACACGTGAGCCTCAACCCATGACCTTTGAACCTACAACACGAAGAAACTAATGTGTATTTACATCTTTGGCAACTAAGCTAAAAAGACGAAACAAAGAAAGTGGTAGGAATGAAATTAATGAAGGCATTACAGAATAATGAATAATTGGTAAAATGGATGAAGGATGGATGACTGATGAGATCGCATGCACACTTGAACCTCAACCCATGACCTTTGAACTTATGACACAAAGATACTAATGTGTGTTAACATCTTTTGAAACTAAGCTAAGCAGACAAAACAAAGACAGTTGTATGAATGAAAATAATGAAGGAATCATGGGCTAATGAATGAGCAATAAAATGGATGAAGGATAGATGACTGATGAGATCGCATGCACACGTGAACCTCAACCCACGACCTTTGAACTTACGACGCATGTGACACTGATCTCCAAAGTACCCATCAAAGCAGGCACAGGCATAATTATTGCCTCCATTCAGCAACGTACAAGTGCCTCCATTGTAGCAGGGTGCTGCACTACACAGGTCTAAAGTGATAGTATGGACAGAAAGCTGTTAGTTCTATTATTCTACAAATTCTAAACGATCGCAACTACTTTTGAAAAATCAACTCAAGGGCAATTTGAATACATCATGTTTGGATTACATAATACTTTGTAGATATATTCGCACATTTGAATGTGTGACACATACTGTAAGGCTATTGAAATTTGCTTACCGGTATGTTGTTAAAAAACAAAAAAAAAGTAGTTGCAATCATTTTTCGACTAATTATTCAATTAATTCTATTTCTATCCAATATACTACATCAGCTAATAAGAGCCAGAAGGGCACATCATTAGTTGATGCCCTCCTGGCTACCAGAAACTGCATAACTAGGATCTATAAAAGGCAGAAAGTCCAAACTTCAATTGTTCTACTATGCAAGTTCACTTTCATTGCAATAACATTTATCAGTGAAAAGGCTAGTACAGATATGACGCAGCAAAGATGATGTCAAGAGCTCAGTGAATACACGCGATTCCTCTGTTGCGCACAGTCGCAATTCCTTTTACATTATGGCCGCTTTTTTGCAGCAGTATACCGCACCGTATCTGAACAAGCCTTTTATGCCCTCCTGTCTCTCAAACGACAATGTACATGCTCCTCCATTGTAACAGGGGTTTTGCATTAAAGAAGTATTTCAAAATTAAGAATTGAAAGTTAGTTCCATCACAATTATAAATAATCTACACTAGTTTGCATGTGCACATTGGTACAGTATATCCACATGCACAGACACATTGTTGTAAGATTCTAAATTTTATATTTAAAGGTACTCAATAATCATGCTTCACACAGTGCATGTACTCTTTACAAAGAATCAAGAAGACACATCAGGGGAACGTTTCACAAAACATGTCATCAGTGACAAATGACAGTTTTTGTTATAAGCTACTGAAATCCTTGCTACTGATTGGTTATCAGCAGATTTGTCACTGATTTTTGTCATTTGTCATTGAAAAAAAGGCTTTGTGAAACACCACACAGGAAGCACAATCAGTGTAGCTCTATTAAAGCAAATGTACATGTACATCTATTAGAGATCTACTGCACATGTACAGAGTGTAACCAAAAAAAAGAACAGCTCATATTTATAATCTACACAAGGATTAATTCAAAGGATGCTAAAGTTATAGAAGACATTTCAGCACAGTCACTTTAATCAAACACGAAATGCAAATAAAAAAAGTGAACGTTCTACGGTACTCACCAATTATGTTACACGTGAGTCCTGTGTATCCAGAAACACAAACGCATCGATATCCACTAAATTGCGAAGGGTCATCAAAACACTGTCCACCAAATAGACATGGGTTCGAACCGCATGGAACTACGAAATAACAGAATATTAAGCAACGGTATTTACTTCTTGTAAAAAAATATAATAACAATGCAGATATACAGTAAACAATGGACCTTGTGGCAGAATAGCATTGTGCTAAACAAGTTACCAAACAAAGTCTACTACTACTAATACAACTACTAATACTGCTACTGCAATATCAGTAGAAATCATTCCTAGGCTGGATCTAGTTATTTCTGAAAAGACGAAGGGGAGGTATAAGAAAAAAATCATGACAAGTAAAAAGAAAAAGGAAAAGTTGTAATGAATGAATATGTAGTAAATTTGTAACTTGCAATGTTGGGGTAATCAATAATTGCAGGAAGAGCATTTCTAATACTCATGTGGTTACACCCAGTATTAACAAAAACCCAATTACTATCAATTCGAGGGGACGGTGACATAAAGACGTAACTTCATTTTGAGAAAAAGTTGTTTTTGTGTCACTGAGCACTTGGGCCTTAAGGAGGTAAGTCTATGTTTCACTAGCCATTGACTTCAATTAGGTGTTGGGTGGAGTTAAGTCTTTGTGTTTCCTGGAAAGCCCACATTTTTCTGAACATTTTGATATCAAATACTCATTATGGCAAAAGATGGAGTTACGTCTTTGAGTCACTGAACCCTCGAATTATCGTTGATAAATGAAACTCTTACCTAGTTGATTACAGTTTGTACCAGTCCAGCCTGGTGGGCAGTTGCAGGAGTAGGAGCCAAAGACATCTAAAGTGCTACAGATACCCCCATTCAGGCATGGGTTCTGAGGTGCGCAGCCATCTATTGACATGAAGAATACAATGGATATGAGTGTTTGAATTTAATAGTATTGATGACAAGAACAGCAACAATGATGGTGATAATGATCATAATCTACTGGGGAACTGGATGTCTGAAAGTAGGCCCTGCGTCCATGATGTGGTGCAATGGCTCAGAGATGGAGCTGTGCTCTCGTTACCTGGAGGTCCCTGGTTAGGCACCAAGCTGATGTGCTTGTGCCCTTTGGTAAGGCATTAATCCTCATTACCAAGTCCCTCGGACAGCTTTCGATCCCCTGGTTACTTACTTTCAAGGATACACATGCTTGAATGGCCCGAATATCCACAGATCTTCAAAACATGAAGATGTCCCACTTTGTACATTTTGAAATAATCACTCTTGATGAAGGTGCTACAAAAGTAGCCTTCTTTTCCCCTTTCCAAAGAATACTTCCACCTGTGTATCATGGAGTGCACTGCTTGTGCATAAATGATTACATAACTTTCACGAGCATGTATCCAATATTTTGTCTCCGTGTATTCCACAATTTGGTCTGCAATGACCATTATCTGCTCATGCTCAAAATGCAACTGTGAACTGACTTATTGTCCTGCATGAACCAGGGGTGATAGTGAGGACTTGAGTAAAAAATTTAAAAAAGGGTTTTGGGATGAAAAAAATGGCATCTTACAACATTCCCCCCTTTTTGAGTAAGAAAATTGGGAACAAATTGGGAAAAATCAGGAAAATAGGGGTAAAATCGGAAAGAAGAAAGAAAAAATTCGGGGAAAAAATGATGATCAGGAAACCGATTTAAATTGGGTAATTATGATGCCTGATGAACAAAGTATGTCCTAATGACTCACCTTGGAAATTACATGTTGGACCATAGAACCTTGAGCTAGGACAGGTACAGGTGAACTGCAGTCCCTGGGATGTAGCTGCGCACTGACCGCCATTGGAGCAAGGATTAGGCTGGCAAGGGTCTGGAACAAGAAAAGAAAATTGCAATTGAATTTAATTATGATTTATTCATCTCGCTGTAAAAGAAATTTTGATTCCCATGGTGTTGGTACTAACAAGGTGTACAGACTAGAGAATAACATCGTACAAAGAAATGTATGAAGGAAATAATTGTGAAGAGATCAATCAACATGGCAGCTGATCAATCTTCACTGCGTACGCACCATAATTAAGACCTGCCTCCTTATACGATTTCCGTACAATGCGACTTTTATTTTTATTACAGGACCCTGATTCTTCATCATGATTTTATTCGAAATGATGCTAAAACGTGCGTTCTGCTTTACAATGTTTCGTTACAGGATGTATCTTTATATGGCATTCAGACTAGAACAAAATCTATACAATGAATTCTTGTAGTCTGAATGCATAGTAAGAACTGTGATTGATATAATTCAAGACTAACATGATGTTTCTTTATATGGCATTCAGACTAGGAAAAAAATGATGAATTCTTGTTGTCTGAATGCATTGTAAGAACTGTGATTGATATAATTGAATACTTACTTAATGTTTTTTTATATGGCATTCAGACTAGGGAAAATGAATACAACAAAAATTAATTCTTGTAGTCTGAATGCATAGTAAGAACTGAGATTGATATCATTGAAGACTTACTTTGTATCTGACAGTTGGTACCCAGGAAACCTTGAGGGCAGCTACAGGTGAAGGTGTTCCCATCAGTGTTACAGTTACCTCCATTCAGACAGGGATTAGGGTTGCACAATTCTGAAAAATGAACATGAAATTGCCAATGAAAATATAGAACATCATGATCTCATGATGGTGTATGCTAAGCGATCAGGAGGGAGGGACCCGTTTCAGAAAGCCTTTGACAAATGACTAAAATCAGTGACAAATCTTGCTGATAACCAATCAGAAGCAAGGATTTCAGTAGCTTATAACAAAAAGCATTGTCTAGATAGACGGCGCTATACAAATGCCAATTATTATTATTATTATGACAAGTTTTGTGAAACGCCCCCTCGTTGTATTAGAATGGTTGTTGCATAGGTGGACACTTTCATACCTTAAAGTTCTCATACATAGTTTACCCCACTAAATATTTAATAGTGCATGTTCAATTTTGTATACAAATATGGTAAGCTCTCGTATAAAACTTTGTATACAAATTTGAAAGTGGGTTCATTATTTTTGAAGCTGGATATCATGGAACAATGTATCAATAATCAATAAATGGAGGAAAAATGACTGAAAACTTGTCTCACTACAGTTTGGGGGAATTAGCTATCTTGACCTTGATAGTACCACAAAGTGAAGGTAAATTGTTCACCTATTAATTTAAAAAGTCCTTGTTTTCATTATTGGACAGACAAAATTTAAGCTATGAAGCCTTCAATTGGTACAGAGCAAATGGTAAATAAGTGTTAGCTAAAAAACTATGATTTGGGAGTTGATGAGTGAACTTTTACAGATTGTCAATGTTCACAGAATATACTAACACCATAAAAAAGGCCACATTATTTGGAATAAAATTGGAGGAAATCAATTATGCCTATGATTACAACATTCGAATCAGGTCTCCATGATGCGCAACATACTCTACTACTATCAAAACTTATTACTGTAATATAAATATTATATTATTATTATAAATATTAACTTACGTCTGATACTGCAGAGGGTTCCCCCGAACCCATTTTGGCACTGGCATGTGAAAGTACTTGCGTCAAACGACGGGAAACAGGTTCCTCCGTTGAAACAGGGAAGTCCCACACAGACCACTGCAGAAAGAAAGAGGAACATGAGTGTAGTATATTGCCAACTTCAAAGGGTCCTCTTATCTGCGGTTGCATGACAAAAGCTCTTAATTGCTCAAAGGTTAATTTCCAGCAACAATCAACTTTGTAACTAAAAGCTGGACTACTTGTTGCTTCTTGCGCCCTCTATATAGAAAACACTGCCTAAACGGTACCCAATGGTCCCCCATGATCCCCTTTTTCTTATTTTAATTGAGAGCTGATTTAATGAGATAACCACCTGTCTAATCCCTCCTGGCCAAACTAGTGCAGACATAGCCTTTAAACCTTTATCGAACCCGTATTCCTTATCCTCTGTGTTTGATGAAATAAAGCCTGGAGCTACCGTTGCTGCAACAAATGTTGGATCACATTTTATGTTTACAGAAGACAGGAATAATAAAGGAAGCCCATATCTAATGACCAATGCTGACTGCTCAATGAGGCTGAGGGTAGCTTGCCCTAGGTACCCATGCCTTACACCCCTACAGGCCTTTAGGTAACCCTAACATTTACTTTCTTCGGAATTTTGTCTTGTGGTATTACTATCCCAGATATTAAATGATGATCTGTACTGCTGATAGCCCCTACATTCACATTCTTGGGAACAAGAGTGTGATTTCTATAAGAAACAGAGGCATAACATATACATACACATGTAAAGACTATATCCCATGCTCAAAATTCATAGACCCAAAGAAAATTTGCCTTTCATATCAATTCCTAGTCTCAGAGGGACAAAGATAGTTGTTGAAAACTCTCTAAGCAAAAATGTTTTAGAAAGAATATACCTGTTGTGTTTCAGTTGGTATTACAACCATAGGTATAGAATGCACCCAAGTGAGAAAAAAAGATGATGGTATCTTCTATTGAGGAAGGAACTGGAAACGTAGTTTGACCACAAGGACACAGATGTGTTAGTATGGGACTGTATGCTTACCTGCCGTGTTACAGTTGGCCCCTGTCCAGAGACCGGAATTACAACTGCAGGTATAGAATGAACCCGAGAGTGAAACCTGACAGAGTCCTCCATTCAGGCAAGGGCTACTCTGGCAGGGATCTATTAAAGAAAAGATGCAACAAAAAAAGGATTGGTATTATAAATGAGTTGTGATATTAATCCACAGCAGGCACTTGTTTCCAGACTATAGGGGCCTTGCAAGAAAGTTGCAATCATTCGCAAATCCCCCAAATCAAGCGAAGTCTTGCAATTAGTTGCAAATTTGCAATTGATTGCAACTCAGCTTTCTTGCAAATTACAACGCCCCTTACTAAGAGAGAGAGAGAGAGAAAGAGGGGGGGGGAGAATAACAGCTAGATCTAGTTAACTTAATTTAATTGATAAAACTTTGATCCGAACAAAATCCTAGGAAATTTTTAGGAGACTAGTGGGGCATGGCAAGAAAGTTGAGTTGCAATCGATTGCAACTATCAGTTGCAAATTTTGCAACATGCAATCAATCCCAATTTTCTTGCAACGCCCCAAATGTGTCATAGAACCTTACAGTCATCTAGGTGGGTTGCAGGGAAGCTACTTACTATAGCTAGTTGATTTACAGAGACTCAAAACAGCAGAAGTCATTTTTCTTATCAATCAGTCGTTTCATAAAGCTCCATGATTTAACCAATGACTGCACTCACGTATGCCTATATGCACATGTCACAATTTTCGCTCTCAATAAGCTACGATACTCACTTGTAAATTCACACCTCGGTCCACTAAAGCCTTGGGTACAGCGACAAATTGATGACTGCCCTGTTTGATCTAGCAGGCAAGTACCTTGATTTAGACAAGGACTAGGCTGACAAGGATCTAGACAAAACCAAGCATTTTAATAAGAAATGTTAAGTTTCTCTACAAAAATAAAGTAATGAAGATGAAGTACATTGTATGTACATTGTATTGGGAAAATACATGAGACAAATAACATTCAGTAGTTTTTCTGTACTCCTGCAAGAACGGTTGGGTTTGAAAGGGGATAGAAAACAAAATGAGAATGAGAGAGAAATATTCTTTTAGTTTCATCCTATACAGGACTACTTGATATTGTTGGGAGAGAAATAGAGAAAATTAGGAGAGAGAGGAATTCTTTTGTGACTAGAGTCCTGAAAGTGTGTGTGTGTGTGTGTGTGTGTGTAATTGGGTTTTTACAGACGTGTATCAATCAGACATGATTACTTACGTCTGGGGATCAACCTTTAACGTCACCATCCAAAAGACGTGACTCAGTTTCGAACCGGGGTCGCCTGAGTCAGTTTGTAGGCGAAGACAGAGAGCTGAACAAGTGAACGTGCCGCCAGACCAACTCACATCTCCCTAAAGGAGTGATGAACTAGCTTATAAATGCTGAGACAGTGTTACAAGATGCCTGTTCATGTACACACCTCTATATGTAATGTAGGTATACTCACTATTGAATTGGCATAAGTTTCCACTGTACTGGGGCAGACATGTACACAGCCTTGATCCATCCAGTTGTGATACGCAGGTTCCCGCATTCAAACACTGATTCACAAAGCACAAATCTACAACAAAAAAGGACAAAATAATGGAAGTGTTAAGTACATGACAGACCTGTGCGAGAAGCATGTCTTATGAAACAAATATGATATCAGTACATTCTCGGTTAATACATGATGTTTTTTCTCAGAAATAAGAGACCTGTGAAGGGCCTTTGAGTTTATCAACTAAATTCTGACTACATGAATGTTTTCTTCCTATGGCGGTGCATTCTTCTTACCCATATCTAGTCTTGATTAGCTCCATGACAACCCTATTAACACTGGTATGGCTGTACTTTGCACGGTTAAAAAATCTTGAAGCCTTTTGTATATCACATGATAAATAAAATGTGGCACAAGGAGAATATTGTGTGGCATATAAAGAGTTAAAGTGACAATCATAATATAAACCTTTAGGTAAGTCAGGAATCCCATGGCTTTTACAAGCCAATTGCTTGTCTGATTATCAAGATATTTATGATTAGAACACTACAGTCTGTTGGGGAAAATGAGTATGGTAAAACCGGTCACTCAAAGTTTTTTTCTTTTTTGAGGCATGATCATATTGAAGCAAAATTTGTTTAGGCCTTCAATATTACACCACATCACAGCCACTAATAACATGTATGGCCATGCATCTCAGATTTAACATTGTTAAACACAACCTTTAAAGGAACAATAATATTTGGCAGAGCAGTCTCTTTCTTACCTTCAGTTTGGCAGTTTACTCCTTGGAAACCACCACGGCAGTTACAGGTGTATGATTGACCAAACTGATCTGATGAGCAGGTACCCTGATTCAGGCAAGGGTTTGGGAAGCAAATATCTACACACAAAAAAAACAAAAACATGAATGATAAAGCATACAAACAATGATAATGATAATAATGTTATGTACTCATATTGGACCATCTGGTAAAACTATGAAATTAATGAAAGAAAGGAGATGGCAAAATAGATTACAGAATGATACAAATTGTGCTGAATTACATTGAGGTATTGTATGCTTTGAAAGAAAGACTGCCTTCAGGTTAGACTTAACAGATATCAATTTTCTTAGGAATGTATATGAGCTAGTAGTTGGTTCTATAACATGATGTAACATCTGGAAAAGGCTTGGTTTGAAAAGAGATGACCTTGTTTTCTACGAGCCGGAACAATATGAGAATTGAGATTATCAGTATATATAGGGGGGGGCAGAACCATGTACTGCTTTCCAACTAATAAGCAGAATATTATATTAGATCTCTGACTGCTAGCCGATATAATCCCACAGGAGAAATTCTTGACTTCATAAATATGAAAATGATTCCTTTGCAGCATTTGATTGAACTTATTTTTAAGACATCCTATTTTCTTTTTATTATCATAAATACATTTTGACATTTCAAAAAGCACACACAAGAGTTTCTACTTGAGGGTACTTGTATCTCTTGGTTTGATTTTCTATCTGATTTTCTTTATTTTTTCACTCAAATATCCACAAATTAGAATGACATATATAAACCATACAGTATTACAATGTATAATAGAACAAATGAATTATACAAGTAACAAAATACTGATAAGTATGTATGTAATAAAATTAGTTTACAGAGCACATTTAAGTCTGAGAATAAGACGAAATATTTTATAGTGCTTGATTTAACTGAGAGGGGATAAAAAGAGAATCTCAGAAAAGCTAGGCTTGTTGAGCGAGATTCTTCTGACAGACTGACCTGAATACTGGCAATTAATGCCTTTGAATCCTTGTGGGCAGAGACATTGATAGGATGCTAAGATGATGTCAGGTAGACAGACTGCTCCATTCAAACAAGGAGACTCCAGTATGCAACGATCTGAAAGGTCAAAGGTCATAATATAATCAATTATTCTGTGTCTAATAAAATACCGACAGAGAGATAGACATTGTAATGATTATTGCATTCTGGTGTATATACAAAATGTAGATCTTCCGGAACAAATTTGTTTTGAATGAAAAGAGTTTCAAACTAAGCTATTACTTATTTATGAGAAAATGAAAAACATAGTTATGATAAACAAGGAGCTAAAAAATACAGACAAAAGGTTGCCAGATAAATTGTTAAAAGCCCTTTACACAATAATAAGTTAAGTATTTTACCATTAAGAAGATATGTATCTTGTATTGATAACACTGAAGTTAAATTACATTTGTTTTTACTATTCTATTTTGAGGTTAGAATGTACATGTAAATAAACACCTCAATTGAGGCACACAAAAAACTCTTTATCTGTACAAGCAGAGAGGAAGCCCAATGGCTCAACGGTAGAGCAGTGGTCTCATAACTGGAAGGTCGAGAGTTCAAAATCAATTTCAATGTGCTTAAGCTCTTTGGTAAGGCAATAATGCTCATTACCAAGTTCCTTGGAAAGGACTAGATAAAGCCATTGTTCCCCGATTCCTTATTTACAAGCATACTCATGCTTCCATAGCAGTCATGGTGAAAAACAATTTTTTTAAAATAATACGAGGCGATGCCATTCTGGCGCCAAGCATATGATGTGATCTCACCTCTGTTCTGGCATCTTTGACCACTATAACCATTAGTACAGGTACACTGGAAAGAGGAACTCTGTCCAATGCGACTGCATGCTCCACCATTGGAACAAGGGAAAGAGTTGCACGGATCTACAAAGGATGTGAGCATAAGATATCAATCCAAGTCAAAATTAAAAGCTCATTTCAAATTCTTAATGGCATAAAAGATCAGGGGTGGTATTCTGAAAGCTATTTAATTTTTTATTAAAAGTATGGTTATTATCATAACAAATCTAAAATAGGAAAAGTCATAGGTTGACTTATCAAAATAAACAAAACTTAACACTAAATATACCAGTTCACAGAAAACTATACAGACAAGAAGGAACTCCTTTAACTTCCGTTTATATTGTCTGATTTTGGCTTTCTGCTCTTGCGATTTAGTATGATACGTGCATGACGAAAAAGCTGCTATTCTTCGATTTTGTACCATCAACCCTCTCTGTAATAATGATGCCATTTACTTCTATATGTCAACTTTTGCAACGGATATGATATTGCTTATTATCATAATTATCAACAGTAGTTATATTAATTCTTTTAGTACAGAAAAGGATAAAAGTGACATACCTGGTGGTATATTGCACAAGAAACCGGTGTAGCCATTGACACACAAGCATTGGAATGTCCCATCATTATCTCCCAGGCAGGTTGCTCCATTCAGGCAGGGGTTGACAGGAAGGCAGGGATTTTCTGCATATTGGAATTTAAGTCAGGTTCATTTCTTGCTGTCAAATATTTGCTCTTGGGGATTATTGATCCATAATTATTATTCTGAATTGTATATATATGTATTTGTATAGGCATTTGTGTTGGTGTTGGTGCGTGCATTTGTGTTTGTGCATCTGTGTTTGTGTTTATGTTCATATTCACATTTTTATTTGTATCAATTATGAAAGTATAAGCACACTGTGCACAAATATTTTGTATTTTGTTAAACAAACCACAAGTTTAAGAGACAAATAAATGAAAAACAATATGGACAATACAAAAATATAAAGTTGATAAGGGGAATTCCCATAAACATATGAAGCAGGATTAGTTGACCTACACGTACACGTAGCAGGATTATAAAATTGGTATCTGGCGCCTTTTATGGTGGGTCGGTGGTGCTGGGTAATGAACTGGATGGCAACATAAGGTTAGAATGTTAAGGTTTCTGTCACCTGTTTGACATTGGAATCCGACCCATGCAATGGGGCAATTACAGATGAATCCACCTCCCTGCTCTACACATGCACCACCATTAAAGCAAGCATTGGATGAACACGGTGATGGGGCTGCATGGGGAAAGATTAGAAACCGTTGTAATAAAACATCAACAGATATTCAAGTTACTATACAACAGATATTTGCCCAGAGCAATGGGGCGTTTGCACATGAATCCATCTACCGGTACCTGCTCAATACATGATATGTGGTACGGGATAAAGCATAGACAAGGATTTCCTCACTAGTACTGACTGTACATAAAGTCAGGAATATGTTAGGAACCTATTAATATAAAACATAGACATAAGTTAAATTACAATTATACAAGGGAGGCTGTAGGGGTGTGCTAACAGTTAGGAAACCATTATCATAAAGCATAGACATAAATTGTATATTTACTATAAAGGAGGGAGGCTGTACATAGTGTCAGGGTATGGGAAAGTTAGGAAACCAATGTTAAACATTGCGATAAACCGTGACAGAGATTTCCCAACATGTAATGATTGTACATGATAAAGGGGATAAGAATGTTTGACAAAGCATAGCCATTGGACAATATATCAGGCTATACATCAACATAGCATGAACATAATCGTGCATTAAGAGGTGAAGATACAGAAGGGCTACAGCTTAAAGCTTGATATTGAGTTCATAACAAAGTAGTACGGGTTGACTTATAAGGTATAGAGAGGGGGCAATAATAATAGAAGGAATGGGGTGGAGATTTTCCAGCTCAAAATTTGTTAGATCGGTTCACCTGGGGAAGAATATATCTGTGTCCATTTCATACCTGTGCATTGTAGCAACTGACAGTATCTAGTGTTTCCATCTAGAGTGAAAGGCACTGACGTTCCAGGATTCGCTTGAAGATCAAAACACACGTAGGTGTTTTGAGTACATTCCACATTTGTCAAGTCCAGCTGTCCCTGATGATCAAATAAGATAAGAGGGGATTCTTCTTTAATAGCACTATCAAAAGAGGCTGGATGAACAAGGGAGATTCACACGACTGTCAATTAAGTTAAAGCCCCACTGTACTACTTATAGCTACTTGCGCCCTCTATATAGCAAACAATGCCTAATCGGTGCCTGTTGGTCCCCCATGATCTTCTTTTTCTTACGTTAATTAAAGAGCTGAGTTGATGAGATAGCCACCTGTCAGTGACCTTGCTGTGTGGTCTAATCCCTCCTAGCTAAACTAGTTCTGACGGTCTTTAAAAGAGGCTGGTCTAACAAGGGAGGTTCACACGACTGTCAATAAACTTAAAGTTTAGGTCATCGTTTTTTAACTTATCTAGGAATATCCTGTAGTTAAAGACTGTGCAGACACACTCGCGGTTATGAAAGTTTACTTGAAGTTATAAACCACAAGTGATCTAATGATTAGTGCACTAAAGTGATGTGTCGTGCGGATGCAATTGACTTTGAGGTTACATGTACGTCAGCTCCTAGTTCAAATGACTGCTTGCCTGGTTTGTAGTATAAAACTTTGAATACCTGTTGTTGAACCTCTCATTGTTACTGGATCACCCACCCGACTCATATCACATTTATGAGGTGACAACAATTTTGTAATTTACCACGTATATACATGTACATATAAATTTTCTTTCCATGAAGTTTCATATTTATACCTTAAAAGGTCTTACTTTCCAAATCATGAATGTGTTTTGAACTTGAGTAAGAAGGACAAACTTGTCCAAAAATACATGTACATACACAGTATCCCACTTAACCATTTAAATCTGCCTAAGGCCGTGAGTAGTTTTATCAAATATGAAGAAGAAAAAAATCAAAGCATGCAATAACTTGTATTAAGCAAGTGGTGACTTTGAAATATATCTTCATTTTGAAGCATAAACCAACAAAAAAACCTAGCTCTGAACGTCCCTTCACTCTCTCTCTCTCTCTCTAAGTGCTATATCAATTGATTTTGGCGATCATGCTGTTCCACAACCCCTCGGTTCCTAGCCTTCTCTATTAACACCACTCCCAGTTCTTTCACTCTTTTCTCTTTCAAGTGTCTTGAAATCAGATAAATATGGGAGCAACATTTAATTCCATACCTGAATATTGGTGAACTCCAGAGATCCCCCTCCCACCAAGTCCAAGCCGGCCTGGGTACCCAGCGTGGCCAGCTGCTGGGACGTGCTGTCAGATGGGTTGCCGTTGTTGGTAGGACTGGTATAGACCTGGATCTGCCACAGGTTGTTGCCGTTGATGCTGGCGGAGGCCGGGCTAGCATTGGCGGTGAAGTCAAAGGTGATGAGGTTGGTCTGGCCGCTGGTCACGGGGAATCCACCATTGATGCTTGCAAACACACTGTTGATAGTCACACCTTAAAATGCAAAATACCACAAAAAATAAACGGTATTTATTCATTTACTCACAGTTCATGTATCAGATTGTATTAGATGTCAATAATGAGTCAAAAGTCCTTTTTGTAATGCATTTTAGCCAATCATGGTTCTATATCACAGCTCTAATTTTCAGCTTATCCTTACATCTCCTTCAGGAGCATTTGATTTGGAAAAATACAAAATTAAAGCAATATAATAATAGTCAATAAAATACTGTTATTATATTGTTTCAATTTAACAAAACATAAATATATATAATAGTTCTGTCAGGCTTGCGCTTTTTGATATGCTGCAGGATGAATTGGGGCACGGCATTTAGGATTCTACAAATGTCCATGCATAAGTGTCTGCTTTTTATCTTTATCACAAAAATATTGCAAAAGCAAATATTGATTGTTGGCTTGCTCTCACCATTGCAGGTAACTTGCACGCACGTTACACTTCTTGGGGGCACGATGTCGAAGTCCATACTTGGGTTGGGGCCCTTGGTGAGTTCAGCGCAAAAATACTGGAACTCGCTGCAGTCAATGTTCGACAGGTCCACGTTGGAGGCTACATTCTGGATTTGTGTAGTGATGCCTGCAACCGCTGAGATGGAACCCTGGCTGTTGGTGAGGGGGATGTTGTTCCTCAAGCCTAGACGGGTGCCTGAACCATCAGGCTGGTTGCTGACAAAGGTGTTGATGGACCTGTGGTCAAGTGGTAGAAAGAGAGCATGATGCGTTGCTACCTTTAGAAATGAAGCTGAGTACTGGGTCCACTTGCATAAAGCGTTTTCTAATAACAGTTAATAACTAAATTATTCATACTCTTACCAAGTTTTGTAATTTGTTTAAGTATGTGAAGAATCAATTTGCCCCAATATATAAGTTTCTTGAGAATCTGACATATAAATGTATACATCTTAAAATATTGAACAACAACTGTAATTCAACCAGTTTACCTTTTCTTCTTGAGGTATGAAAAACAATTTACAAGGGGTATGAATAATTTAGATGTTAACTGTAAATGGAATTGTAGAGGTGTCATAGTCAAATGGAAACACTTGACTGAAGATGCAAAGGTTGTGGGTTTGAGCCCGGCACAGCACTAATGTCAGTTGGCAAGAATTTAATCTACATTTGCCACTCTCCACCCAAGTGTTAAATAGGTACTGGTAGGAAGGAATTCCTAAAATGCATTGAGCATTGAAATCCGTAGCAGAGCTAGAGCCAGGGTAATATTGAAGTATCTTGAGGTGCTCAAGTGGGTATATACGCTTTAACAATATCCAATATTATCATTACTAGGATTCATGTAAGAGGACCAAGGCCATGCAATTATATTGTGTAAGAATGTGTCTAGAAGTTATATAGCAAAGGTTGATTATTAATTACCAAGGAAATTGTGGTAACAACATTTTGGTAGTTGGTGCATTAAGCAGATTAAATAGCGATAGAGTGCTTAGGAAGAATAAGATTCTAGTTTTGTTTAACAAAAAACAAAAACTTACCACAAGTTTGTTCCTGATGCGCTTCCGCCAGCAGGGTCACTGACAATCCCTAGGTGGAACTGGACTGTGTTTGTTGCAGTGTTCTCATCGAAAATGAAACCAGAGAGGAGAGCGAGGTTGAGCCGTGTTACGTCCACTCCTGAAATGGTGGTATATATTAGGAATAGAAACATTAGTGGATACCAGGGCCCTGTTTCACAAAACTTGTCATCAGTGACAAATGACAGTTTTTTTTATAAGCTACTGAAATGCTTGCTTCTGATTGGTTATCAGCAGATTTGTCACCGATTCTTGTCATCTGTCATTGAAAAAAGGCTTTGTGAAATGGGGCCCAGGTTAAATAATCCCTCCAGCACCACCTTCGGTGTTAGAGGCATAAAAAAGGGTTTAAACCTTTTTAGCTTTAATAAATTAAAGAGTTCAAAATTGCACAGTGTCATGAGAACTGTACAGTATACTTTTTTTCCTTCAAATCTACATTCATTTTAAATGACATCACGCAAAACTCATTTTATGATGAAAATATATTTGGTTTCTATTAAAACAGAGGCAAAAATAGACCATGTTGGTTTTTGCACAATTTTCAAAAGTCTATCGAGTGTGCAAGATATGATTTGCATTTTATTGAGTTGCATGTACATGTACAGTGTGCAGACACATCCATAGACTTTAGCACATTGAGCAACAACATAGAAATTCACTTTTTATAAACTTTTTTCCATCTGAAATAAGTTAGTTAGTTTCACATACCTCTACAGTTAGATGGCGTGCAGCCAACCAAAGACCCTCCGAGTAGGAAGTTAGGATTTGGGTTCTGCCCCTTGGCGACCCTAACGCAGATATAAGGGATGTCGGAGCAGGACAAGTCCCTCACGTTCAGGTTGATGTCGACATCAGTGATCGTCGCCTGTCCACCCGAAACCAGACCGACCCCCGATTGTGCGATATTGAGGAAGGGGGTCGTTTCTGAGCCTGGGGTCCCCCCAAGGCCGTTGATGGAGGTGCTGGGGTAGATGGTGACCTGCCACAGGCCTGACCCTGCGATGCTGTTGCCAGATGGGTTGCTGTTCAGCTCCACATTGACATTGAGGGGGTTGGTCTCGGAAGCCTGACGCAACGTTCCAGAATTGATCAGAAGCCGCACAAACTGCATTATGACACCTAATCAAAATAGAACAAAAAGCAATATTAATAATAATAACTATAATATTAATAATAATAATAATATCATTAATAACATTAATGATTAATGATAATAATAATGAAAATAATAATAATCTTAATAAAAATCATAGCAATAATCATAATTACAATAATAATAATAATAATAAAAATATAACTGTTTCTTAATGAGCGCTTTTACAACAAACCTTTTAGAATGCTGTTACACTAAAGATATAATGTACACAAATTTGGGAACAATAACATGCTTGCATGAATCATTCAAAAACTGTGTAAGGAGCTTCAGATTCACTCGAATTCTTTGTCACATAATATTTGAATCCCACAAATTTTGTAGCACCAAGATTTTCGCAAATTCACATACCATAAACAACGTTGTTGCACTTTTCTTTCTCGTCATTAAATGCCATATCAGGGGTAATACACAGAGCTAGAATTTGGCCAGGCTCAACTAATACAGTAACGAGTGTCATATCCCTAATACATACAAACTTACAAAGGAAATGGCTACAATTGATAAATCATGAAAGTTTCTGGTTCGTACAGTAAAAGAGAACCCACCTGTATCACTTATCTGACATTGGTCTCCCTCCCATCCAAGAGTGCACGTGCATGTGAAGAAGGTTTGGAAGTTCTGACAGACTCCACCGTTTTGGCAGGGGTTGCTGTTACACACATTGATAGCTGCAGATGTCAAAGGTCAAGGGTTAAAGTGCATAGTATGTTACTTTGATAACAATAGCATCATCATACACTGAAGTCCTGATAGGTCACAATATTTGTACAGGGGGTGCTTGCTCACACATTGGTAGCTGCAGATGTCAAAGGTCAAGGGTAAAAGTACACAGTATGTATGTTACTTTGATAACAAGAACTTCTGACAATTTCCATGATTCTAACAACTGCTGGCTACACAAAATACTAGCAGCGAATGTCAAAGGTCAGAGTATCATCATACAATGAAGTCCTGATAGGTCACTCCATTTGGACAGGGGTTGCTTGCTTGCTCTTACATTGGTAGCTATAGGTGTCAAAGGTTGAAATGACTATATGTTACTCTAATAATGAAGCAGTACTCCATGTCAAATCTGACAATTTTCCACCATTCTAACAGGGCATTGCTTGCACACAGATCAATGAATTTGAAGGTAGAAGGACACAATATTTTCTGAAATGAACATATGAATGACACATTTATCAATGGTGCACTGTCCATGCACAGGCAAAGTCTTGAAATAAACAACAAACAAAACCAACACAATGCCCTGTCACTTCTGGAGAATGATATACATGTACTTGTATCAGTACCCAACCATAGCATCAATTTTTATTAACAAATCTTGACCCACACATAACTATATTATTTGCTGCCCAATTCTTTACTCCATGCAAAACATGAATATGGAAAGAATCATCTGAAAAGTGAGTTTTTCATAACAAAAGCCCAACATTGGTTTCTCATGGGCCAAAACTGTTAACAGGCATACCTGTGTATAGCGGCAAAGAAAAGACTTAAAACTGAACTTACAAGTTTGACAGAAGTTACTAGTCCACCCAGGTGCACAAAGGCACTGATAATTCAATCCTGACTCCAGGCATGTAGCTCCATTGAGGCACTGGTGGTTATCGCAAGGATCACGATCTGAAACAGAGAACAACGTTTGACTCGAAAGATTCAGATATCGCACTATACAGAATTGATGAGAAATACTATGCTCAAAATATTAGACATTTGAAATCATTCACATTGACTATCTATTATCATCATCTTGTTTGAACACACTGTAAAAGCATTTCCTTTTATTGATAGTAATGCCACTTTTCAAATTTTTCAACAGAATAAGATGGCTTCCTCTATCCCATTGCTGAGTACTTCCAACTTTCTCTATGCTTGAAAAAACAGACTATTGGGGATACCATAACTTTGCACTTTAGTAACTCAAGTCTCAAGTGGCTATTGTAATACTATCATCACTCATGAGCTGTAGAAACGTTGCAGTCCTTTAGTCTAAGCCTGAATAATTTTGTCTTCATAAATGATTTATCCATTTTGTAAAGCCTGTCTTCTAACATCATGAAATTATGACAGCCAGCACGGTTTATAAAAAGGATACGCTGGAACAATTAATGAGGGAAAACTTTGCTTTTATTTGCTCAAGCTTAGTCTGAGCTATAAAGTATGTGTGATGTCAAAAAACGGGTGTCTGAAATTCAAGGTATCAAAACATAGGGTGTCTAAATTGTGGTAGGACACATGCTCATGCAATCACTCCGCTGTGATTTCCTAAAATAACAGAATTTGTAAATTCTACCCTAGACCCAACACTATACCTAACCCTTACCCTAAACGAAATGTTAACAATGGCAAATCCTAGAACTGGCGCTATACTTTCTGACAAAATAAGGCCCAGAGGAATAGTCACCAAAGCAAAGGACTGATCACTGTCTGAACAGGGGGGTGTTTCACAAAGATCCTAAGTTGAACTTATCTCTAAATTGGACTAACAATTATGGAAAGCCTTTGAAAATACTTTGTAAAAGTTATTTTGAAAGGCATTAAATGTTGATTTAAATCATACATATTTTCTATTATCTCGGAAATTCCATGTTCTTGATGTGGAATTTATGAAAAGTCTAAAATACTTGGAATTTTGCTTGGAATATTTTTTGTTTAAGACTACAAATGGCTCTCCATAATACTTAGGTCCAACTTAGAGTTAAGTTCGACTTAGGATTTTTGTGAAACACCCCCTGATCATTTCTTACCACTGCATGGGATGCTCTTGCAGGTCACTAAAGAGTTGGCTGTGGTCCCAGTGATAGTGAACTCGGGGTTGGACAACTGGTTCCTACTCAGTCTCAAGCACAGAAAAGGGATGTCTATGCATGCATAGGGTCTGAGGTCAAAGGTCGCCTGCAGGTTGTTCAGATTGAGGGGGCTCCCTGCAACGAGAGGCACACTGCCGGTCCCAAAGGGTAGGTTCACGGTCTGCAGCAGGGAGATGGTTCCCTGGCCGTTGGCGAGAGTGTTGGCAAAGATTTCCAGCTGCATGGAAAAATGGATACTTGTGATGTTACCAAGTTTTGATGTGTGTAAACATAGTATAAGTATTTCGAATGATTATATAAGTGCTTAAATAGAACAGTTTATCAACACATATAGGATCATATTCTTGGTAAGCCCAATATATTTGTCCGATCTTTCTATCTACCTACACTGTCGCTCATAAAGGTGGAATATTTTTTGTTTACCCCAATTTATGGAATTATTTTAAAAATAATTTAGAAATAATAGATGTAGATAATAGTATACATTCTCAGATTTTATTAAATTACAATTTGCCGATGTGTGTTTTGCGTGACTGTTAAAGCATGTGTATGCTACTATTCTTATCAGCTAGGGGACCTATGCCCTTAAGTCATAAAGGACAGTAATGAGGATTAATGCCCCACAAAAGGGCACTAATATAGCACATCGACACCCTTTTGTGGGGCATTAATCCTCATTACTGTCATTTATGACTTAAGGGCATAGGTCCTCTAGCTGATAAGAATAGTAGCATACACATGCTTTAACAGTCACGCAAAACACACATCGGCAAATTGTAATTTAATAAAATCTGAGAATGTATACTATTATCTACATCTATTATTTTTAAATTATTTTTTAAATAATTCCATAAATTGGGGTACACAAAAGATATTCCACCTATATTAGCAACAGTGTATATACATATATATATGTGTGTGCATGCTTATTTACTAGCTCCCACTAACTTGACCTCATGGATATAATAAAGCCCATCTGCACTAGTTTGGCCAGGAGGGATTAGACCTCCCTGCATGGTCACTGACAGGTGGTTAGCTCATCAAATCAGCTCTCAATTAACAGAAGAAAGAGGGGATAATGAAATCCAGACCTGCCCAAATATCACTAAAAAATACTTTCAATGTATTCACCTGTTACGTATGGGACACATCTATTTTTGGCTATACAGATGGGACATCACACATATTTATTTCATACTGATTTGGATTTGCTTACCTGCCACAGGTTTTGACCACTGACGCTGGCTGCAGAGGGCAGAGAATTGGCCACAAAGTCAAAGGTGAGGACGTTGTTGGAAGTGCTGGCTTGGAGGGGTTGACTGCTCCGAAGAGTGTAGTCTACATTATTGATGATAACTCCTGCAAAATACATGAGGGAATGCATTATAAAACAATTCAAATCTATTCTGCCCCATGTGTTAACAAAAAAACGTAACTATGACTTATCATTGTATTAAGTTTATAGCCTCACTAGAAGCTAAGATCATACATGAAGTAAACTGGCAGGTTTAAGACCAATTTATGTTTATTACACCAAAATACTCGTAAACATATGGGACACCCTAAGACCAAAGACTTGTCTTGCCCCAGTTTGTGATCTCAAGGCAATAATCCAAGAAAAAGGTATTACAAAATAACTCCAATTGAATCAGTTTTTATCTCAAGGCAATAATCCAAGAAAAAGGTATTACAAAATAACTCCAATTGAATCAGTTTTGCTCTGATCTGTAATGGAACATGCTTGGGATGGGGGGGGGGGGTGTTTATGCTTCTCTAATATGTTTTAGGTTTTATATGTATTCAAATTATAGTAGTTTATGTTGTATAATAACTGTTGATATCTTAATTTCTGGACCCCAGGGAAGAACAGTTTTGTTTATACTAACAAAGCTGAATGGATTATCCAGCCATTCACTATACTATTGATTTTACTATGTACATGCATTTTCTTTGTATTGTTTTTAATATTGTGATATGGAAAATAAATACCAGTACCAAAAAAATTAAAAGAACACCTTACAGCAGTTTGGGTGTACCTAATTTAAACATATGTGTCAGACCCGAAGCCTAATGACTTTAATGGTCACGTGGGTCTGGTGTACTTACGTTATTAAAGGACAAAGTAGTCCCTTGATTATTTATCTATAAATTGTTTGTGGGTAAAGTTAAATGTACACAGTGAAATTATGATACCTTCTCATGTATGTTTTATTGTTCTTTTTTCTAAAATTGATTATTATACTTAGTCCAGAAGGATGTGCATTCATGCTCGAAAAGTAGTCCTTCTGGACGTGCGCTATGTCAGGCAAGGACCTGATGGGCATTTTATATAACGTACATTCGTCCACTTGCTTTAAGCGAAGCTGGTTGTTTCACTCTACACCATCCGACACGCTTAAGTATAAAGCCGTCAATGTAGCCTGTTTGTGTTGCACTATTTATACGGCCGATGAGGTGGGGGTCCTTATATACACCACGCTACAAAGCTACACATGTAGGCTATACAGACTGATGACGTAGTATTTCTTACCCGTGTGACACTTAGTCTAGGGGGTTTCTGTTTAATTCATTTATATAACAAATAAACCACCACTGAAATTCACCATGGCGTCCCATACTCTTCATTTCGTTTGGCAATGATTTAAAACAGTGGAGCACGAGCCCTACAAGCTGAATTTGGTTTTAAAATGGTAACGATAATACATTTAAGTATCATATGATTAGGGTCTAGGAGTGAGTAATATAAAAAGTGAGGCCACACTTGCCTTGACACTGGACTGGAGCACATGATGTCATCACACTTTCGTCTAAACCAGGAGACGGTGAAAGTGAGAAAAGCGGGTTAGACGCTGGGTTTCGCGAGAGGATGGCGCATACATATTGGGCGTTTCTGCACATCGTTGACGACAGGTCAACAGTTCCGGAGAGTCCCTGCAGCGTGGTTGTAAGACCAGGCGAAATGATGTCCGTTCCCGACTGGAAGGGTGTCAGGACAACCTGACAAAGTACCAAAGAGTAATAATAATAAAGATAACTGTTTCTTACACAGAGCTCGACAATTTACAACTGACCAAAGCGCTTGCAATACTGTTATTACCCCAGCTACTGGATTTAATTACTATTCCCCACATTACAGTGTACATTCTCCACTCCCTTAGGAGCATTCCAGCTGGTCGCCTTTTTATGGGGGCACACAATCCAATCAAATTGACCCTTGCATCCTATTGGGTACCCATTTAGCACCTGGCTGGAGAGGAGCAATGTACGCATTAGAGATAAAAATGCTTTGTACCGAGTACATCATGTTCGTGGAGCTATTGAGATATAGTGGGTTCTTTTCAATTGACTTTCAATCCAACGGTTGTGGGTTCAAATCTCAGCCCGGCACTAACGTCATTTGACAAGACATCAATCTGCATTTGCCACTCTCCACCCAGGCATAAATGGATGCTGCTAAGGATGCTGCATAATAGCAAGGGGAAGTGAGAAAAAGGCAACTTTGCCTCACAAAGGCCCCTACACATACAAAATTTTCTTTGTTGGAGAAGACACAAAAATGTAAAGCACAATATCGTCTTTATTTTATCGTATATTTTGGAAACGTAGTTTACACCATCATAAGTTAACGATGCTTTGTGATGATGAAACGTAACTTACCGATGAGCTGGGAGAAGAAACGCCAATTCCTGAAATGTCACTTGTGCTGTAATAAAGATCGACTGCCCACAGGTTGTTTCCTATCACTCTGCCACCCTCCGGATTGGTGCCGATGTTGAGGTTAAAGGTCACCTGATGCGAGTTCCTTCGTTCCACGATGGGGTTGCCACTGGTTACGGAAATGGACGTGGACGTGACTTCCACACCTGGTGTGCACATGAACAAGGGTCAAAGATCAGGTTTCAAACATTGTATAATTCTGCCTCATAAAGGAATATACAAAAAAAAAGGACAACTACCCCCTAGGATATTTGTCCAGGGGGAGTTGTCCTGGAGGATGGTTGTCTTAGGGGGTAGATGTCTGGGGGGGGGGGGGGTAGTTGTCCTAGTGGTTATCCTAGGGGTGGTTGTCCAGGGGGTAGGTGTCCTAGAACCGTATGAAGCTATCCATAGCAAGATAGCATTTTATCCCCAAAATCTATTATTGCTCCTGGTCCTAAACAATATCAATGCTCCATATCATATCACTTTCCTCACACTTTGAAGACGGAGCTGGACACTAATCAAGGTGAGGGTTCAAAGCTATATAACAACTTTGTCTACTGGATATTCAGTCCTAGATGTGACATTTATTCAAACATTTCATCTTAGAATTAAGAATCTCTTGATTATGACGATAACTGCAAATGGTAGGGATACCAGAAAGTAACATTATTTGATGGTTGTAGCAAGAAATTCTACATTTTTGGACAATTTTTTTTTTTAAAGGGATATGTGGTTAAAGATGCATTGGAGGGAATCACCCTATTATAAAACTATTCCTATTTCCTGAATTGTCTATTTTCCTATAATGTTAATTGCAGCTACAGAATCAAATAAAAGTTGGAGGGTCAAGTGTGACCCCATACAAATACAAGATGGAGATCATTGTTGCCTTCTGAAAATTGTCAGCATAAATTCACTGTGATAATCCTTTAAAAATGCTTCTAGATAAGAGGATTAAGAGTAAGATTCTATAAGGTGAACCCTGCTTTCCTTGAAAAACATACAAAAGTATTTTATAGTTGTACGTTTTCAGGAAATTCTTTAGCATGTTGGTGTTGAAAATGTACAATTGAGAGTTTACCTCTGCATGTGATCGGCTGGCATGCAACCTGCGGTGGCTCAGACAAGAAGAAATCTGGGCTGGGGTTATCGTTTTTTTCCACCAGAGCGCAAAAGTAGGGGATCTCGGCACATCTGGTTCCCGAGTTCAGGTTCCACTGCGCACTGATCCCCTGAAGGACAGTATCCTGGCCTAGGATCACATCTGCCCCTGCTTGGAACTGATTGAGATTCACCTGGGTCTCACCAACCCTGGTACCCGCTCCATTGGGGTTGGTGCTGCCGAAGACTGTCACTTTCCAAAGATTGGAGCCAGACACGCTTCCCGCGGTAACCCTCGGGGACATGGTTATGTCAAAGCCAATATTCTGGTTAGGGAATCCCTCACGCAAGGTACCCCCAGAATTAATTGCCAAACGGGTGGAGAAGATTTCCACTCCTGAACGAAAGAAACAAAAAAGTTAGAATTTGAGCTTTTTTATCACAGAACTTTGTTGATCTCACATTAACCTTAACCACATGTATCATTTTCTTATTGTCCATTTTCAGTTTTACAAATGTATGTCGCTTCATGGTGACTTGGTGATTTCTCTACAGCCTTGATCCAAATTTTAATTCTACAGGCCGTATCGTCCCCCATCTTATTGACTACTTTGAACAGTCGAGTTTGATTGTTTGTAATAATTGACAACATATCCATCAATGTCACATTGTCACCGTAATAATCACAGCATTGATTCATAATAATGTTCACCATGCATAAATCTGGTCCATGTTATAAAAAGAAAAATCCTAGCAGGCTATAATCTAACTACTGTTGGCAATAAGATACATACCCACGCATGGGACAGCTGCGCATCCAACCAGGGCCTGTTCATTAGGGTCACCAGTAAGAGCGAAGTCAACCGAAGGATTGGCACCACGCCCAATTGTTGCACACAGGTAATTCATTTGTGAGCACACCGCCTGTCCGACTAAAAATTGTCCCTGGAGATTATTGATCTGCGAAGGGGTCGGCGGCACCCACGAGACCTGGCCCTGCTGAACGTTGAGGACTATTTGGTTCTCGTCCAGTCGTGAACCAGCGCCCGTAGGGCTACTGCTCAAGAATGTATCCACACGCCACAGCCCACTTCCGATCACATTTCCGACCGACAGCGCAGAGGGTTCGAACCGGAGGTTAAATGAAACTGTTTGAGTCTCTCTTCCCTCGACAACATGGGCACCTGCCGCCAGGAATGGAAGTGTATTTTCCACCAGTACAACCGCTGTGATCAGGAAAGAAGACATTCATTAATTAGATTTTATCAACACCTTTAGAGTTTGTTAAACAAGTAATGTGATAAACACTTCAAACAAATATATGTACATAGCATTTAGCAACGGGTAATGTGTGTGATGTGTAGTTTTAAATAATGTCTGACAAAAAATTATCATTTTGATATTCTACTCACTCGGCAATCGATTTAATCTATCCACCAAAAGAATGGGAAGGGACCCACAAAACATTCATTAATCTATTCATTATGCTTGAAAAGTATCAAAAAGCCTGCCACAGAAGTCAGGCAGCATTCATTCATTTTTATTGCGCATTTGAACTGATTTCAATTATTTAGTTATTGTATTATCCTGTATATTAGGAGAAAATCTATAAGTTTGTTGTATATATTGTAATATATTGAGGATATTCATTCTTTTTATGCATGGTGGGAAGAATATTAGTTTAGAAATGTTCCTTGAAAAGGATTGCTTTTCAAACACCCTCATGTTCAAAATATTCTGAGAAATAGTTTGGACCAAATCATTATGCCACATGTGTGTCTAGTCCATACACATTTCTGTGCGCAGTGCATGTGACTTTCAGCAAAATTGAATTTCAGACCCATTTAACATACACAAATTCTCATGTTCCCCATGATTAACTTTTGCCATTGCTTCTAGAGAGTGGTTTTCTCAGTGATGTTGCTTGACGAGAACTCATCCTTATCTTTAAATGTAGCCAGTTGAATATGATTACCTTGTCCGCAAAACTCTCCACTGAACTGCACTGGACATTGGCAGGTATAGGTAATTCCGCTAGGTACGCAGATGGCACCATTTCGACACAGATTGTTGATGCAAGGGTTGGAGTCTAAAAAGATAGGAGAAATAATACTCATGGCAAATAAGTGTGGCAAAAGATAGAACCTGTGACAACTATAGTTGAATCTCAATTCGTTATCTTTCTTTTCTTCTTCCATATTTTCAACCATTTTTGTTCTATTATTTGATGAAATCCAATGCTTTTGTATCAGGTTTATATAAAAGTATACATATATTTTTTTTCCATTTTGAAAGAGCCTCATAGCAAGTTGTACAGCAATATCTAACAAATTAAGCTGTATTACATATTTGGGTGATTCAGATACAGATTCGAATTCAAGAGATATATATTTTCTCCTCGTTATCAAATGAATACAAAATTAAATTGACATAATACATGGGAGAAGGAGATTAGATTCCTTGGCACTTCGCTGCTTGTGACGGGGTCACTATAACGATAAATACTGACATACAGACAAACACAGTGATGATATTGCCGTCGCCCTACAAGGGTTATTATTATTATAATCATTTTCACCATTATCATCTTCACCATCAGTATCACCATCATCATCATTAGGATATATTTATGTAGCCAGTAAATATTTACAAAGCATTGTCATCAGCACACCACAGCGCTTGAACTACTTTAATTCTTTTTTGCTCTCTTGGCAGTTGGCAAAAACAAAGTATCATTGCTTTCACCTAGCTAGACTGGGGATTTCAGTCATTCGTGGATGACGCACCGTTTTTGAAAAAACATCATAAAATTAGAAAATGGCGTAACATAGCTGAATATGACAGTCGGGTGCGGGCGCGCGCGTGTGTTAAGTTAGCGATTGTAATCTTAGTTTACGTGCACCCCACCGTCGGTATGGTATGCAATTGTACTGTACTGCAGTTCGCCGTGAATCCTAAGAGAATGTGCATATTATAAGTATTTGTTTTTTAGGAAAAATACTCCAAAAAAGATAAGAAAATTGACACAAAACAGGTAACAAATACAAACATATCGACTTTTAAATCATGACCTTTATTTAGACATTTTGATGAATACTTCATTTACTTCATTTTGGGTACGTTTAAGTAGGGTATCTCCACGCCAGAGTTGAGGGTCACAGTTTGGATAGACTTCTGAACTAGCGCCTTAGTTTCTCCCAATTGTTAATTCCTGCCTCTCAGCACGTAGCGCGAGAGGGCAATACGCATTTAGCACCGACTCATGTGTTGCTGGAGTGGGTTCCGCATACGCGGCACGCGGCATCCATTACAAGACACGCGTGAAAATATATATGTGGGACTACAATCAGTAAATTCACTTTCACTACTCGGTCATTTTAGAAATGTCACCAACAACAGAAGTTTCAAATACTATTCTACTTACTCAGTGAGTTAAGGAACTGGTTTATCTAGCTATCATCATAAATATTGATTTTGAAATCCATCGCAACGCTAAAAATCAACGCTTTGAACACGAGTCAGCAGCCGCCAGATCTTTTCGGATCAACATTATTTTCACGCATGCGCACCACACCGATTCCGCAAAAGGGAAGGCCATGCAAAACTTTCATCCAATCAGATACAAGCTTTCCAAAGACGAAGTCAAAGTTTATGAATGATTTAGCGTCCCTGTCATTTCTTTGATTCAGCTTCAGTTTCAGCTTATTGTTTCATATTTCACATATATTTCATATTTTGCAATGATTCCACAAAGTAAATGGTACAAAATGAACATGAAGATTACTGGCAGAGACCACAAAACAACAACCAGGAAGTGAGTACCTAAGAGACTGAATAAAAAGAAAAGTGAAATATAAATGGACCCATGGTGAAAGCAATGCTTTTCAATTATAGGCCCTAACGGGTAGTTAATTTCATAATAGTCTCTAAAAATAGAGGAAACGAACAATTAGTACTGTCATTTTTTGTTTACATGTTAGATTCACTTTCATTATGATAATGTAACAAAATGTACATCACTTTAATAAATTCGTGTCAATCGTAGAAACGTGCATCTTCATTACCTTTACGCTTTAGTAGCACACGCACCCCGCATAGACACGCCTACACATTACACATAATCAACCCACACTCACACAATTTCCAAAATGCTCTGCGGCTCCTGAGTCTGTCTACAAAAAAAACTCACCGATGCTACAACATTTTCGAATTTTCATATTTCCATTTAGTTCATAAACCTGTACTTTGCATATAAATACGATTTTGAGTACCCATTTAAAATTTAAAAAATAGACCAAATTTTAAAAAAAAACTCACCGATGCTATACGTTATGTTGAACCCTTCGCTGTGAATATTGAAATCTGATTCCCACACAAACGTCATCTGGTTGGTCTCAAAGCTGTAAATCCCAAGTCGGGTCTGATTCCCGTTGAAGCCGAAATTATTATCATTGATATCAAAATCTGGGCCTGTTGTATAGTAGAGGTCGTCCTTTCGAAATTCACTTATGAAGAAATTCAAGTTTATATCGATTCTGGTAGCTGTTGGGATCCGGATCGAGTATAAACAGAGCTCGTTGATTCCTGCCCGATCCGGCCAATTGGGGGAGGTAAGGAGACCTGTGGTGCCGAAGTATGTCTGACTGCACGTAACGGGGCTAGGGCCACGTCTCGGTATATCTGCCATGGTTTATTAGGTGAGAAAAGGTAAAATAATGTTAACATGTATTCAATCGTAACTAATTTAGGCAATTTCATTGTTTATGTACGTCAGCTTTTGACATTTTGAAAATGCACTTGAGTTGATTTTTCCCAAAGTAGTTCCGATCGAGCTTATTCCAGTTGACTAATAATACTAATAGCAAACCGTCCTAGTAAAGTACATCTCACATTAAGAGATAATGTCCCTATTGCGCTTTCAAGAAACTTTGGATTTTATTATCCTAGCTTTAGCACTGATATGTTAAAATATTTGGATACTTTTATCCAAAAGCCCCTGACAGAGGCGTATTTAGCAATCTACAATGCAGCCTGCCTCCCCCTCTCCTCCTTTAGATCCACAATTCCATACGTCATGTTTATACATGTACACAAACAAAATGATTATTATTGTTGGCATTCCCCCCCCCCCCGATCCCCAGATACACAACTGCTAGATATCCGCCCGTATTACATCTCTGTGGGTTGAATCCAGTCTGCAAAAGGTATTCATGAAGGACATCCATGCAGTGACTATTCTAAAATACACAAAGTGGGACGTCTCCATATGTAAAACATCCGTGGATATTCGGGGATCATTTGTACAAGTGCTATCTCCGAAGTGGATTACTGTCACAAACATTTCATGACAAAAAATTTTGAAAATGGGATTCCAACTTTATGGGTAACAGTGTAGTTATAATAACTTACTATCAACGTTGAAGTCACAGTTTCTTCCTATCCATTGCAGTGAACACAGGCAAACATATCCGGGTAACAAGATGGCGGGCTCGCATCGCGCACCATTTTGACAGGGGTTGTTTTGACACCCTGTTAGGAGTAACAAAAAAAAATGTTTTGAAAATATAATGATGGTGATAATGAAAATAATGATAATGATAATAATGGTAATAACCAAAGTTATAGTAATAATAATAATAATAGTAAGAGTAACATTAATAGTAGTGGTAATAATAACTGATAATAATAATTATAATTATGATAATCATGCAAAAAACAATAATAATAATAATAATAATAATAATAATAATAATAATGATGATGATAATAATAATAATAATAATAATAATAATAATAATAATAATAATAATAATAATAATAATAACAACATCTGAATAAAAATAATAATATTGATAATAATGATAATAATACAAATAATTAAAAAAAATAATATATATATATATATAACGATTTTATATAGAGCAATTCAACCCATAATGTGTTTTCAGGACGCTTTACAAACAAAAGTTATATACATTGATAAATATGATGGATCTGGCGAGCATAAACTGTTGTATAATCGTAAAGGATAAACGAAACCAAGTTGAACCATGGCCCACACTCTGCGAGACCACTATTTTCAGTCTCGTTAACTCAAATTAAAGTTATCATCGCAGGTCGTTTTAAATGACACAAAATAATCTCTTTAATTCGGAGATTGTAAAGGTATGTTTGAAATATTCTACACGATGATTCATTCAGTAAGCCTGCCTACTAGCAAGACTATAGTTTTATTTTCAAGATTTTAACGGAGTTTAAAAGCTTCTTATCGCGATATATGAAAACAAGTATCATCACAATAAAATTTAACAAACTTGAAATAGGCAGATAATGCTTCAATACATCCCCATAATAATTACATTCATTAATAGACATAAATAGCATAGATAGGTCTGTTTTATAGAGGAGGGTGCGTTAATAGTACAACATTTACTCTCTTTTTTTGGTTTTTGTTTCTTTACTCACCTTGTGCATCTATTGCTGTAATAAACGCCAAAAGTACGCTGAAAATACAAAGCCACTGTAAGACACGCCCCATCTTGTAACTGCAAGATAGAAATAAATAAAAGAACATTGTAAGATGAAAATCTGGAAATTTGTATTGGAGCATTTACAAATGCTATTCGATGTTTAGCTGTCTTGTATCATGCGGACATGCACGATAGATTGCTGTGAATTTATGTGAATTCACGTGAAAGTTTGTCATGAACAAGTTTATTTTCTCAATGAGATGGATATGAGGAGAAAAATGAAGAGGGTGAATGGATGAATAGCGAATAGAAAACATATTACAGAGAGAGAAAGAGAAAAGGGCGATACAGATTCAAGAGGACACAGTGAATTTGAGAGATTATGTTGACCAATATCCATGCATTATTTTGATAAACTCCGGAACCTCCAATCATAATTTACAAACATCTTACTTACCGTGAAAGAATACCAAATCAAAGAAAATTATTATTGAGTCAAATTATTTTCCAAGATGGAGGCAACGTTCCATAATTCCAGAGTAATTCCCGGTATCAATGCACTTAGCTCCAGAAGTAGGACTGAGTGTGCTACCAGCTTAGACCTCTATCACCTCTCCTGATTGTACTGATGTGAATATTATTTTTCAGTTTAAACGTTTCAGGCTCTCCTGCCTTTTAAACTTCGAATAGTCTGATAAACTAGTTTCTAAATAATACCTTGGCAAAAAGAAAGCGTTAAAATACATTTAGACAGTCATTCAAAAGATAAATATTACGAATCAACATGGATGCTATTTCAGTTACTATGAACGTGTCAATAGGACGTTTTTTAATTGGTGTACAAAGCTGTCTTGTTAAAGATGTTTCCAAATGAATCTGCGAGTAAGACTGAATATCTGAGACTACGTACCAACGCCTCTTTTTCCTAAACTCACAATCGGACTGTCAAGAACGTGCAGAAAAGAGGAACTCGGTGACAAAACAGAGACACTCTATCAAAAAATAATATTGAGTGGTTGGTGCCATTGTCCTAATTGACCTTTCTCGACATTTGGTTGAATATGAATTACACGCAACGCCATTTTATTCAAAAAGAAAATATTACTCTTCAATGTCAGATATTTTTGGGGTTTGATATCATAGTGATAAGGTATATGGAGTAATTTACTTCATTTTTGAAGTTTGTTGTGTTGTGTCCAAAGAATATGTTAACAACCAAGGCTATTTGCTATTATGCTGTAACCCACACATGACACTATAGGTGAAAAGGGTCTCTATTTCTTCCATTAAACAAATCAACTTGACCTCTTTTATTTTTCTTTCAGTTGAGTGTTAGACCGAACGGTATTTGATTGAGGAAGTCATGGTTGAGGATGACTTGATACCTCCAAATTCATGTTTTAGAATATGTTGAGCCCATCTTTAATTATAAAAAGTTGAGATTGTTCGGAATGCAATGGATTTTTCGTCGGGTTACGATTGATGGTTGAGAGCAAACTGAACTATATTAGTGCAGTCATCACATCATATTTGGGAGTTCTATATTTACTCCTTACTTAGTATAATTTTGATAATGAAGTCATATATCAATACATTTTAAAAGGAGATTTAGTTACTGGAAAAGTAATATTCGGGCAAAAGTACTTGGCCCTCTTCCCTTCCCATTGGTGAAATTTTGCCAGTGCAACATGATAGTTAATTAAAAGCAGCTAATATGTATAGATTGTATTGTCTCTTTCTTTCTCTCTCTCTCTCTCTCTCTCTCCTTCTCACACACACACATACACCACTCACTCTACCCGTCTCTCTCTCTTTCTCTCTCTCTCTCTAGCCACATTAATTATAGACAAAAAGAGAAGATCATAGATGGAAAATAGGAACGCGTAGGGAAAACAAAAATCAGGCGAATATTCTCCGCTTTTCTAATTTTTGTTCTTATTCGCCAGTCTCATTCACATCTTGCTCAAATGCAGATTGCGTGTGTGTCCACAATTAGAAGAAAGAAACTCACATGGTTGAATTTTTGTTTCTAAAGGTATCACTGCTTTTTTTTTCAAAAAGAATTCATATGACTTGCATGGTTATTCTTCAGGAAGCAAACGTGCGGGGTTAAAAGATTGACCGAATAATGGCGCAGACTTTGCAAAGTTATTCGAGACCTTTTGAAAGACTCGGTCCTATTCAAGGAAAAGCAAAGAAAAGAAATACAGGGATTTATGTAGCACGCGGGCGACGCAGAAGCCTTTTCATTGCCTATAATGATAGGGGGCTACGTACATTTATCATTTTGTCCAATTACGCTTTTAATAGAGTATTCAACCCTGAAAGGCATTTCATCCAAAAGAAGTAATAAGAGTCATAACTGGTTCCTCGTTGTGCTCTCGAGAATTGTACTTACTTCGGTGTACCTGTAATGTATGCAAACAAAACTGATGCGTGTTTTATACATGCATGTAACTATTGAGGATCTTAACATAAGGTGCTTTCATTTTTGTTGTTTTGATAATTAAATGATTATGAAAATAAAAATGTTTGAATACGTTTAAGTAAAACAACCCATTTGATCGACGGCGGACAAGACCAGGGGACAGCACGTGAGATACTAAAATTTGATGGGAAATTATCTACATTTGGGTGTATCAAATACACTCTTGATCACAATTTAACATGAGCTATACAAAATTATATCAACCTCCCTCTCAAAATTGTTAACATATCCATTGAAAAGCAAAGCAGTCTACTAAATCTTTTACGTGGTTGAGTGCCCGTTTCCTTACAGTAATTCTCTTCGCTTTCTAGATCATTGGAGTTTTCTTTCTTTTTTCAGTAGGAAATGGGTTAAAATATTATGCTTCCAAATAATTAATAATGATAATAGCTCACATTTATAATGCGCCTAATAATTTGTTTCTAGGCGCAGTGTATATGGGATGAGAAGACTGGAGAAGATGCTCGCAAACAACTTTAAATTGTATTTCTACATATTTAACATTGAACGTGTCAATAAAAATAGAAGTGAAGCACCTGCTAATCAAATACGGCGTTTGATATTTGGACTGGTTTGAGAGAGGATCTTGTGAAAGAAAGGGGCAAAGGCTAGATTTCTTGTAACGAAAACACGCACAGAATAATACCGACAGAATATAAAAGACATGCATGCATGGAAAATTTGAGCTATATTCAAAAGCTATCCATAAAATCAGCACAACATGTAAGTAACCTGTTTATAATGGCATGGAAGAGGGGGGGGGGGGGACCTGGGGTGTCATATTTTTTTAAGAGGGTAGGTATAGCTACCCGGAAATTATTTGCCTCAGTCATTTGTCAAAAACACTTTGCACCACCGCGTCTGCTTTCATACAATACTGGGTCTACAATCATCTTTAACATGGCACCACATTATGTAGAGTCGATGATTATTAACAGTGCTAGTTTCTGGTAAACCGTTTATGCAGTTTATGACATAAATCATACGATTATGAAGATATTCATGATTGGACGCACATATAATTACACTGTATCATAGCCTTTGCGTGTTGAAAACCATAGAGTCGACTACATCTGTATTACCATGGTTGTTTAAGTTGATTGGTGTATACAACGTGTATTTCGAGACCATTTCGCGGTAAATATCAGAGGGTACTTTTTGTTGAGTTCTATAAATCCCACAGGACTAGCAAAGACGTTCTATGCAAATATGTGAACGTACGTACGTATGTGAAAGTAAATTTTTTGCCCCTCAATCGCCCCCCCCCCCCCCCACTTCTTTCTAACAATCCCACATCCGCATGCAACCCTCTTCAAGATAATGTGTATTTGCCGCGAAAGGGTTTTGAGACACGCGTTTTATTCACCAACGCCAACTTTGACATTGGAGATATAACTTATGGGTCTACACTTAATAGTAGTCTAGTTAAATTTGATTGGTGAATATAACGTGTACATGTATCTCAAGACCATTTCGCGACAAATATCAGGAGGGTACTCTTTGTTGAGTTCTATAAATCCCACGGGTCTAGTAAGGACGCTTTGTGCACACATTCGACGAGGAACGTCTATTTTATCAAACTGAACTCTTATTCAAAGTGAGTGTTAAAAATTTCAAGCAACCATGCAGAAAGTCAATAATCCTGAGGATAATTTAAAGGTGCAACATTGTTATTCAGAATTATTTGCACTAGAGGGAAAATAGTCAGGTCGCTCTTTAAAAAAGAAGGATTATACTTGCGCGTTCATGAAGATGATGGGACATGCTTACTTTGGTAGCATATGAAATATATGTGTTGGAAAATATATTGAAGAAGTGTCGTTTTCTAGGTGATACTTCTTAGGAATGTGGATTACATGGTTTACGGTTATTATCTTATTAATACTATTATCATTATTAGTGTTACTATCATTATACTGATTATGGTTACCATAATCATCATCATCATTATTATTGCCATTATTATCATCATTATCATTATTATACACATTCATCCCCATAGTATGTTGATCGATGAATTCTATGTCCAGAATAGGAATGCCATCTGAAATTATAGCATTTTCAAAGACAGTAACACATTATGGGCTACGTGTTCCTTGGTGTGTGTTTTTTGACATCACCTTTATTGTGCAAAAACGTAAGAAAATGTAAAATAAGTCCAGGTAACATGTTTTAAAGAACAATATACAAGACAATCATACAATGAGAAGCATATTAAGTAACATACATGTACTACATTAAAAAATGGAATATACATTCAACGTAATTTTGAACACATTTGAACATAATGAAGGTAAGGTGGGTTGAAATAAGGGTTGAAATAAACATTTCCATCTTAATTTTGTTTTATGATAAAAAGAAATAGAAAAAAAAAGGGAAAAGTTATAAGGAGAAGAAAGTTAACGTGTATTAACATTTAGGGCGTCTTTAGTATTTATCTGTCATAATAGGTCTGGAATTTAGGGCCAAATAACCGCATAAAGGGCATGGAATCTACAAAGTGTAATGGGGACAATAATACGGTATTCACGAGTTAGATGTACCTTTTCATGCTTTGTGCTATATAATCGAAAACAGATACCTCATC